GTTTACTCTTTATTATTGTGACATTAATAAAAAATTAAAATTTATTAAAATTATTTCATATCAAATAATATTTTTGTAAATAAATATTTTTAAAATATTTATATATTTTTTGTTTAATTGCATGGAGTTTAATTATTATCTTATCATTGATTGTCCTCACGACTAAAGCAAACATCCGGATTTAACATGTAAATTATTTATTTAATTATTAATTTAATATATCAGTTATTATTTATTTAATACATTTTAATATTAAAGATATAGTCTTTATCAAAACCTTAGAACCAAAAGAAAAATAAAATTTTTTCACAATATATTTTTAATACAGATTATGTTTTTTAATCTTAAAAATATAATTTTTGTTGAAACCATACAGTCGAAGGAAAAAAATTTCATAATATATTTTAATAAAGACTACGTTTTTAAGCTTAAAAAAATAGTTTTTAATGTAGTCTTTGTTGTAACTATAAAACCAAAGAAAAATAAAATTTTTTCATAATATATTTTTAATGAAAACTTTATTTTTAATCTTAAAAATGTAGTTTTTGTTAAAATTATTGAATTAAAAAAATAAAAATTTTTTCATAATATATTTTAAACAAAGATTATATTTTTAAACTTTAAAAGTAGCATTTGTTAAAACTATAAAATTTTGAAAAAAAAATTTCTTATAATATATTTTCAACATAAACTATGTTTTTTATCTTAAAAACATAATCTTAATTTGTTGAAACTATAGAATTTTGAAAAATAAATCTTTAATCAATTGAAAACAAAAATTTAACTATAACCCACAAATTTGTTAAATATATTTTAATTTAAAATATTTAAAATATTATTTAAAAATATACATGTGCTAAAAATTATAATTATTATATTTTTATTAAATAAATTCAAATAAAATATAAAAACTGAAATCAAATTTAATTATATTAAATAAAAATTCAATGCAAATAAAATTGAATTAATTTTATATCTTCTAAAAACTAAAATTTAAACATAGTTATTGTCAAGGAATGAGACTTGAAATATTCGTACAAATCAGTTTGGGTCTCGATTTATTATGTAATTTATTTATTATTGAATGGTAATATAAATCATAAAAATCATTTATTCAAAGTAAAAATGAAATAAATTTTGCATTTTGTCAAAAATTTTAAAAAACTTCTTGGAAATCCAGATTTCTAATTCAAAACTATTTTCCTTTTCTTGATATTATTGGAAATCTTTAAAAAAAAAAAAAAGAATCACATTATAGAAATCAAACATAAAAATCACATTACCAAAAATAAGATTCCTGAGGAGATACCTAACGGCATGTTTGGATTGAAGTAATGGGAAAGAAGGAAATGAATGGAAAGAAAATAAAAGGAAATGATGAATCATTTTCCTTGTTTGTATATGACATAAATAAAAAAAAAAAAAAAAGAAGATATGCTTAACTTTCCTTGGTTTCTTGCAATTTTTTTCATTTTTTAATTACCCCAATTTGAAAGAAAAGGAAAGGAAAAGAATAAAATTTTTAAAATATAAAATGATTGTTATATCCTTATTAATTTCTCTAAATTAAAAGTGTATGATTTTAAACTTCAATAATTAGATTGAGAATATAAAATATCATCTACCAATAAATTTATTATTTCAATTTTTTTTCTTATTTTTATGAATTTCATAAATTTCATTGATGACTATTTTTATGAAGAAATAAAAGAAAATTAAAAATATGGAATATGTTAATATAAACATGTAAATGTTATAGTAAAATCAAATATAATCAAATATTATAATCGAAAAAAATAATATTATAAATTATTTCCTTTCCTTTCCATTATTTAATCAAACAATTCTTGTTAGGATTTTTTTATTTTCTTTTTCTTTATTAATTTTAGCTATACAAATAAAGGGTGCATATATCCTTTTTTTTTTTCTTTAAAAAACCATTCATTCCTTTACTTTACTTTTCATTCCTTTATTTTGCTAATGTTTATCCAAACATAATGTAAAATTCACAAACCAATCACTCCCTAAGAGTTAATTACATTTGCATATTGGAATTTCCAACAAATATATAAATTGATACTTAAAAAAATGTACAATTTATGTCCTAAACTTTTAAATAATATATTATTTTCATCCAAATTTTAATAATGTTAATTTAACTCTCCTATTATATGTACTGAACGTATAAGTTAATAATATTTATCAAACATCACATATAATAGTTGATATAATTAATGAGTTAGAGTTTAGGTTAACATGATAAATAATTTGAAGGTTTATAATGCATATTGTACTCTTTTTTTTTTTTTTTATGTATCAATTTGTATATTATTTTCAAGTTCAAGTATTAAATATGTAATTAATTTTTTTAAAAAATCATAATTTAAAGATAATAAAAAAGAATTACAAGTGCTAAGATTTAAACTTAACTTCATATAATTTATTTATTACCTATTAAAAATAACTTTATAATCCAACTAAATTAAATCACACGTTAAAAAATTGTACAATTATTACGTTAATTGAATTATGAGAAAAACAAACGTTTGATATTTGCTCTGGTTTTTGGGTCACAAATTTAGAAGTGACACCCTTTAGCAAGTCTATTGTCTTTTTACGGACAATTTAGATGAATTCTATCTATCTTAATTGGCAGTCATTTAGCGATTAAAAAAAAAATACAGATTCAATTAAGGCATTAGGAACAAAGAAATTAAAAATAGTATTGATAATGAGATTGACAAGATGGAGAGTTGCTCTAGAGAAATTGCAATGGGGTATGTTTGCACAAAATAACGATAACGATAACAATAAGATGAGAGGAAATATGATAATTGAAAAAAATGAAAATTAAAAATATTAATTTAAAAAACAATAAACATTAATATATTAATAGAGTCTATTTTTATTTGCTAATATGATTTAATGTATGTCATTTATTAGGTTTTCAATATATTAGCAATAAATCTAAATTATAATCTAATTTTAATAAAAATTAATTAATTTATATTCTTAAAACATTATGGTTACTTAAATATTAGAAAGTCAAAGATAATTTTGAATTAACCTTTCAATGATCGATCAGTGAAATTCAATCCTTTCATCATATATTTTTAAATGAATATAAGTATGGTCTAATGTTTATTGTGAGATTAGTCACACAATTAACATATGATAATATTTTCGTAAACACAATTGAATAAAATATTAAATAAAATTCTCAAAACGGGATATATTCAATGAATTTATTTACATAACAAACACTCACATGTTAATCTCAAATATTTCTCTTACACTTCAACTTATAAGATGGTTGCTTGCATTCATGAAATAAAAATACTTAATATGTGCTAGTATTTCACAACAATATTGATGTCCAGTCTGAATGAAGCATTGACCAATAATTAGATTTAGAAATGATGCTTTGATATATAAGAATCTCATAATTCTAACACTTTTGTAATTCTCTTATAAGGTATATTCATTCTTAAACTTTATTATAATTATTTAAATTAATGTCACAAACGATTTTAAAATATAATAAATAATGAATGTAATATTTAAATTTTAAAAATTTTTAATATAATATTTACTCTATAAATATGTTAAATCGTATCGCTCCTAACTTTACAATTCGAGTAATGTTTCAATGCGTTTCCATAATCATTCATTGGAGATTTGGGATCTAGTCCGCCAACGCTTTTTTTTCATCAAGTTAACGATTTAACTTTTCTTAAAAAAAAAATTATTAAATAATTTTGTTAACTTATTATAAAATCAAAATTAATTATTATATAACTTTATTAATAAATAAAATTTATTATTATATAATAAATTAATAAAAAATTTCAATTATTTATTAACAAAATAATTATTTGATATAAAAATAATTTAATAATAATTTATTAAATTATTAATTTTATAAATATTAAATAATTTAAATTTTTTATTACTTATAAACTTTATCTATTATCTCTTAACAGTAATTTTTTTGGGTTAAATTTATCTTATTGTTATCATCACTATTTTTATATTCAAATATATATATTATTAATTTTAATTTTATTATTATAATAATTAATTTTACTTTTATTATTATTTTTAATTTTATCAAAATCAGTCTAATGTAAATAAATCTAAACCTACTAATTGTTGATATTTAATAGTAGTTATAGACATAGAAAAACTTGATTTAGCGTCATGCTATGACACTTTTCATGGTGTTTTGGCACCATGAAATCTTAAGTTGAAAAGGGAATATTCTAGAGTATAGACCAAGATAAAGCAGGATGCTGCGAGACAGGCGTCTCCTTCGCGTAAAACTGGCGCCACCCGTTTCTACTTCCCATCTCTAATTTTCTGTTGGCTTCGTATTCCTCCAGAATTCCACCTGGATCCAGACTTTTATTACTAATTTTAATGTACTCAATTTAATATAATAATAACATTGATAATAATTGCTGAAAAACCAATATTTAAAAAAAAAAAAAAGCAAAACAACAAATTTTTCTGATTTTCATTATTTTCCTTTTTGCATCTTCTTTTGTTTATTTTATTTTATTTTATATTCGTTATATAATATAATGACAATAAACATAATTAAAAATGGGAAGAGAACAAAAAGTGTTGCTTACTGCTTAATGCAGATGCACACATTTAAAACCAAAATATATGCTTCCAGAAGATTTACCTTCCAAATTAGGTTATTTAATGATCAATCATAGCTTAAAGTTTATAAAGGAATATATATACTTATTACTCCAGAATTTTCAACAATGAAAAAGAAGACTGTTATCCTTAGTTGTTAAAATAAGTGTTTCATAAAATTTTTTATATTAAATTTATTTTATTTGATTGGTTAAATTAAATTGCTGTGGTATCAATAAAGAAAAAGAAAATGAGATGGAATAGCGTAAAGTAAAGGTCACAGCCGTCACCCATCGCTGCGATTGGATTAGGTGTCCGTCTGACATGCTTCTAGGAGTGATACCCCTTTCTTTCTTAATTTTTTTTATATTAAGAAAAGAAACAAAAAAAAAAAAAAAAAAAGAGAAAACTTGGTATGCGTAGATGCGTATTTCACGAGCTTATATTGGATCTTGTGACAACAGATTTGTAAGTTTCTCCATCTCTCTCTCTCTCCCTCTCTCTCTCTACGCTTGCGTTGTGTATATGAACGGTTGATTTAGGCGTTTCTCATTTCTCATTCCTTTCTCCTTTCCTTTATCTTTTTGGTTTTTTTTGTAGTAAGGTAACACTGTCTATAGTAGCCTTGTTCTTTTTCTTGTTGTTTCCGTCATCGCCAGTCCAATGGAAAAGCTCGATCACCTCAAACCTGCCGTTGCTTCTCTTTCTCAGATCAGGTACCTTTCCCATCTTTTCTTTTCTTTTCTTGAATTAGCTACTCTATAATAGTAACACCGATCTTTGATGATTTCTCAGTGAAAATGAGAAAAACGGATTCATCAACCTTTTCTCCCGCTATCTCAGGTATACTTCAAATCGATTCTCTTTTTCTTTTTTTTTTTAAATATAATTTATTTTCTGTTAGCTTCAAATTCTGATGTTGAAATTGTGATTCAAACGGAAAGTGGAGAAGCGCAACACATAGAATGGAGTAAGATCCAAACACCAACTGATGAGGTGGTTGTTCCGTATGACACCTTGTCTCCATCTCCTGATGGTAATTTCATTTCAGTCTTCATTTATATTACTCTATTTTTATACCTTCAAAAGAAAGAAATCATAATCTGATTGGCTTTGATGCAGATCCAGCTGAAACTAAGAAGCTTTTGGACAAACTTGTCGTCTTAAAGCTTAATGGAGGTCTGGGGACAACCATGGGATGCACTGGTCCCAAGTATGTCCTTCTCATCTTAATCATTCACTTTTACTCTATTTTTGCATTCCTCACTCTAATTGTTCGTTTGATTTGAAAAACAAACACAGATCTGTCATCGAAGTTCGCAATGGCTTGACATTTCTTGACCTCATTGTTATACAGATCGAGGTCATCTATCGTCCCTCATCCTCATAAGTTGTTTATTTTCTTTTGATTTTCCTTTTTATTTATATATAATCAGATTCAGTTGACAATTTTTTTTCTTTGTTTTGATCAGCATCTTAATTCAAAATACGGATGCAATGTTCCGTTGGTTCTGATGAACTCATTCAACACCCATGATGATACATTGAAGGTTCCTAAATTTATATAAGTTATTTTCTTACAGCTCTTTATTTTTGGGTTCATTAGAGATATTGGATCTAATGTTTGTATAACACTTGTTCGATGCAGATTGTTGAGAAATATTCCAATTCAAACATTCAGATTCATACTTTTAATCAGGTTGGTGATGTTGGATTTCTGCTTCTTCAGATTCAATTTAGATTTGACAACATGAGAGTGAGGTCTTTTACTTGTATTCTCTTTTCTCGGATTTCATTATTGGATTTGCGTAGAGCCAATATCCTCGTCTGGTTGTTGAAGATTTTTCTCCATTACCATTGAAGGGCCAGCCTGGCAAGGATGGATGGTAAACCTTTGCTTTATTTAGGTTTTTTTCACTTTAGTCACTCCATTAACCATGGCTAGGATGGATGGTGAGGACAAATGGTAAACTTGTAGCTAAAGATAAATTGTAATTTTAATGACCTGAAACTTGTGTACTTTCATCTGCTGCTCTAATTTCATATGCCTTAAATATTATCTGTGAATCACCACAGCTAGTTTTTATTATTTTGAGCTTCTTAGCTTTAATTGAAAATTTGCCTCTTAGATAAATTTTTCCCTTCTACTTAAAGGTTTTCACTGGATTCTTCATGGTTGTAATGGTCGATGAAGTTATAGGACTGATTCATCTCAAATTTGTATCTATAGTTTCTTTAATATTCTATCTTTGCACTCACTTGTATAGTTCATAATGACAAGATTTTTTTTATTCCATCTTTTTTAGTTTTCTTCATTTCCTGCAGTGTTAGGTTTGAGAATTATTGATGGAGTTTTTTATTATTTTTCTGAATTGCTTATTTGGCGCTAATCGCTTTACAAGAGCTTTTTTTTTTTTAATTTTTTTTCTGGATGAAGGTATCCTCCTGGTCATGGTGATGTGTTCCCATCTCTATTGAACAGTGGCAAACTTGATGCTTTCTTATCACAGGTTGTGTCTGTGATGCAGTGTGATTTTTGTTTTTCTTTTTCAAACATATTAGATGTTGTATAAATTTAGAAATTTTTTTCAGCAATTTATTTGTGTTCCATTTGTCATTACAGGGCAAGGAGTATGTGTTTATTGCCAACTCAGACAACTTGGGTGCTATTGTTGACTTGAGTATCCTCATTCTAGTTTCCAATGAACTCAGCTTTCTAGTTGTTAGTCACACACACACACACACACTCAGATGAATCAAGCTTTTTTTCTGGCAGTTTTAGTCCTTGACAGGTTGCTTTAGAAATCTTAAACCATTTGATTCAAAACAAGAATGAATATTGTATGGAGGTACATGAAGAGAACTGTAAGCTGTGTTATTTGGTTTTTCTGGCTCTGTGATTATTGCTCTATTACTTTTATTTATGTAGGTTACACCCAAAACCTTAGCTGATGTGAAGGGTGGTACTCTTATTTCTTATGAAGGAAAAGTTCAGGTATGAAATGAACTCTTATTTGTCTTTAGAATCTATCTTTCAATCCTCCCTCCTTTTCTAAACTAAGTGAGGTTGTAAAGATAAGCTTCTTTTCTTGCTTATAAGCGCCATAGATAGGGTTTTTTATTGTAATTACTGTTTCGCATGTTTTTATGATGATGACTTGCTAAACCAAAAGTATAAAGAGTCTCATACCATATTTTTTAAACTTTGTTAATAGATTTTCTGATTGTATTAAACAAAATAATTCTTATCTGCAATAATAAAAACTGTATGAGTTCTACTTTAATCTCCTTATCATTATTGAATATTGAAAAACCTAGAGTGATTTCTGCAGCAAAGAACTTTTTGCAGTAAAATCAGAAAATTTCCAGCTTAAGCTTTTCCTCTTAGCTGATTGTCTCCGATAGATTTTTGTTTGGGATCATGATGGTAATCTTTTTAATGCTAAATGGTGAATCACCAACTGAGAAAGAAAACAAATATTTCCTACTAGTATACAGCAAAATCTTCCACTGCCACATTTGAAAGGAAGAGAACAGAATGAAATTAGAGATTGACTAACACCCTTTTATTTATTTGTGTGATTCAGCTCCTTGAAATTGCACAAGTCACTGATGAACATGTAAGTTATCCATTCCATCTTTGTTTGTCTATTTGTTGTTTTGCTATTTATTCTTCCACCCTCAATTTGCTTTTAACTCTCCTTTGTTAATTTAATAGAGATCATGTGATTTTAATATTAGAATTTGACCAGAGTTCAGAAGGCAAGTGGACTGCTAGGTGGTGCTTGGGTTTGCCACCTATGATAGGCTACGTCTAATTATATTGGGGATGTTATTACTACATTATCAATTGTTAGTAGATCTTGTTAAGAAAGTTGAAGTACCATGGAGTGGTTGGTAAAATTAGTTTTACTGATTTGCCAACTACTAGAATGAGTACCATTGAACAGATAGAAAGTTGGGAGTTTTTGCTCAAGTTTAGGGTTAAATCAGTTGCAGAGATAGAAATATTTGTTGACAGTTAGGATTTGTAAAGGAGTATGATTGTATTAGGATTTGTAAAGGAGTATGTATAGGACTATGATTAAATGAAGAAATCAATGTCTAGGAGTTATTTGGATACTTTCGTGTAACTATGAATAGTGGTTTGAGCTGTGAGGTAGTGTTCAATGCCCTGAAAAACAAGCAAGTTTTATCTTCCTGTCTGTTTCCAGTCCTTAATAGCCTTGCCTTTGTTTACCAGCCATCAAAGCCTTCTCATCTTTTCTCATCCAGTTAAACCCTTAAATGACAAGTTCCTGCCGACCATATTACTAGATTTTTCTCAATTTGATGCCAACCCTTTTCTTGTCCTGATGCCAAGTGTTTTAATTTCAGAACAATTTGTTCTGCATCACTGTCATACATTGAAACACTGACAAAGATAACCTTCTACTGGTTTATGGCTGACATGACTCTCTCTTTGTAACAGGTCAACGAATTCAAGTCAATAGAGAAATTTAAAATTTTCAATACAAACAATTTGTAAGTCATATGGCCTTACAATGTTGTAACTGCTTATAGGTTTGGCACTAATGAGTTATGTTACAGGTGGGTGAACCTGAATGCAATTAAGAGGCTCGTGGAAGCTGATGCACTTAAGATGGAGATCATCCCAAACCCAAAGGTATGTATAGTTTTCTTTACCATGTTCCCTCTGGTAAAATTCTGATTTTCAAATAATAAAATTGGATGCAGGAGGTTGATGGAATCAAAGTTCTTCAACTGGAAACTGCTGCTGGTGCAGCGATTAGGGTATAAATTGTACCGCTTATGTTTATGATGTATTAAAATGTTAAAAAAAAAAAAAGAAAATTGGTCTAACTGTGTTATTTCCATGTGTGAACAAGTTCTTTGATCATGCTATTGGTATCAATGTACCTCGATCACGGTTCCTTCCAGTGAAGGCAACTTCAGATTTGCTTCTTGTTCAGGTTATTTTCTTCTTCCCCTGACATTGCAATCCTGAATGGTAATACGAAGCTCTCTCAACACATCCTCATTTTTTTTTTTTTTTTGCAGTCTGACCTTTACACCTTAGTTGATGGCTTTGTTATCCGGAATCAAGCTAGAACAAATCCTGCAAACCCATCCATTGAATTGGGGCCTGAATTCAAGAAAGTTAGTACTTGTGGTGTTGATCTTGCACTTTTATATGGATGCTATTCCCATAATGACCTTGATATTTTTAATTTACTTAACAGGTTGGCAACTTCTTAAGCCGATTCAAGTCAATCCCAAGCATCATTGATCTTGATAGCCTTAAGGTGACCGGTGATGTATGGTTTGGTGGTGGCATTGTTCTCAAGGTATTTTTCGACCCCCCAGCTGGCATTTTTATTATGGATAGGGCATGAAGGTTTAAATAAGGTGGAAGTATAGAATTTTTAAACTGTTTTTATTTTTCTGGATATATGTTATCAGGGGAAAGTGAGTATTGCAGCAAAACCTGGGGTGAAGTTGGAGATTCCTGATGGAGCTGTAATTGAAAACAAGGTAAACACTGGGTTAAAGTTGAACTAACGTCTGTTTTTAAGCACCATAACACTGGATTGGTTTGGTTTTTGTTTTGCTAAATGGGTGTGGTGTAATTTTTGTGCATAGGAAATTAATGGCCCCGAAGACATCTGAGAGTTGCCTGCCAAAGTTGTTTCTAGTTGTTCTCTTGCAATGGTTACGCTTGTTGATAGGAAATCAAATAATGTACTTTTACAAGTATGTGCTTTTTTTTTTTTTTCCTTTTTGAGTTGCGGAGAGAGATTACTAGTAGTACTTTTTGAGCTCTGCATGTGATTAAAAGCAGTATTCTAGTACTGTTACGATGTTCTGTGGTTTTGTTCTGTTTTATGTACTTTTTGCATTAGCAATTTCGCCGTTTTTACAAAACTTTTTCAGTAACCTATCATTTCGAGTCAGACAGTTCTTTTAATTTTGAAGATATTAGGTTTCCGAATGGCAAATGAAAAAAAAAAAGAAGAAAAAGGAACCGGAATCAACCAATACAAAATCAAATTTGTATTAACATGATTCAAATCAATCCAAATTTGAAAATGCAATAATTAAAAATAATCCAAATTTTCTTAAATCAAAATGTTTTCAATCAAAACTATCAAAATTTGTATGAAATAATTAATTTTTAAATTTATTATTTGAGGGATGTTTAAATGCAAAATTAAATAACTTTTACATTTTTTTTCATATTCTTTATATAATTTATATTTTGCTAATCGAACGGTTGGATCTTATGTTGTATTCATGTAGGACATGCATGACAAATTTTAAATTAATTAAAATTATATTATTAAAATTTGATAATAAAGAATCTTCAATAATTAAACACGCATTATAAAATAAGTTATCATTGATCCATTAGGTATAGATATCATATTGATTGGATTTAAAAAAAAAAAAGTTTTGAAAAATTGTGAACTTAAAATTCTCAAATTTTATTTTTCAAAAATTTAATTCAACACGATATAACAAAATCTATAATTAAAGTGAGTTAAATTCAACTCAAAAAGATAAGATTCAATTTGAAACCAAAATATTAATTTTTAGTTTTCCACCGCAAGACATTCATATACTTCGCGTCCGAAGTTGAACCAGTGACCAAGCTGGCGACCTGTCTCTATACCAATATGCACAAATTTTGCGTACCCATACCGCCTCAAGTGACTGTTATGGATCGATCACCTGTCTCACTCCTCAAGTTTATTTCTCCCTGGTGCCTGCGGACTTTTGCTTCTTATGTTGTTTACATATGGACCATGTTATTAGCTAAAGCAATGTTTGATGCATAAAATGATTAATAGAAGAAGACCATAAACATTTCATAGTATATATAGAAAAAACCATAATTTTCTTTTCCACATAAAATGATCAATCCTCCTAAAGTGAAAAGAAAATATTCATAATTTTCTTTTCCACATAAAATGATCAATCCTCTTAAAGTGAAACGAAAATATTTTTAAAACAAGATATTAAGCTTATATTTTATTATTCCTTTAAGATTTACATTAACTTAAATTGTATAAATTTAAAAACAAAAATAATTTGACCCAAAAATAAAATTATTTTATCTTAATTTTTGTACATATCAAATATAAGATAAAATATTATTATTTAATTTAATTATATTCATAATATTATTTTATTTTATTTTATCATAATCGTGTATACGAAATGCACCCTAAATTACTCTTACATGCATTAAAAGAGAATCTTCATTATTAGCTACCAGAAGGGTAAAGGTTATAAAAAGGTGAGATCATTATCTCATTTCTTTTCCAAATAGCTGTTCATCGGAATAATCATCATATGGTCACAGCTAGAGTGAAGTAGCAGTGAACCATGACAAACCGAAATTGTATCAAAATCCTCATCCATTAAAGAGTGCATAATCAAAACCTTAAAAATAATGAGATAAATCAGGGAGATGGAGAGAGAGTTCTGAAATGGCGATTAAAGTCATCAAATTACATCCCCCACCATCATTTGCACCTTTATTCTTTCCCTGCAAAAGCCCAGAAGCATCATCAAGAGCTCTCAACCCTTGCCATTTTGGACCTGCAACAGAGTAACGCAAACGTTAACGGCAATGAGTATAGAAACACATGCAAGCATTATGATAAACACATCTCAAAATTCGAGGGCTTGAAGAAATCATTCATACACCTTTTAAAAAAGAAGCTCCTTTTAAACATATATCTAACTTCCTGAGCACATTCTATCAAAAGCCATAGTTCACCTTGCTTAACCAGAACTACAATTTTCTCCAGCAATACAACATCAAGCAAGAACATGCTACAAATATATTATGTTCCCATGTTTACCCAAGTTGAAAGCATCTATTGGAAATGTACCACTTGCCAGGGAGTTTTTATTGCAACCAAATTTGAAAGCAAATAAAACGTTTTAGATTAAACATTTAGGAAAATAAGTTCATTTAATATGTTTATCTTCCCAACAAAATTGGTCTCCTAAGGATGGAGGGAATAGAACAAGCACAGAGGGCTTCCTCAGGCATTAATACACAAAGATAAATTTTAAAACTGCAAAATAAATGTCATTCAGTGGCAAGCCACGTTAGGTGTAGTTACCATGTTCATAATTAAGCTGCAATAGAAAGTCTTGCTTTGAGCTCGTCTGCCACAGCATCAATGAACTCCTCAGTGCTCAGGTACTGGTGCCTAGCAAGCCTGCAGCATTCATATGAATGTCACAAACATGTTCTGTACAACACATATATACATGCATGCAAGTGAACATACAAAAAATATGAGTACCCATTGACACAAACAAACATATCATATGTATGTATACTCTTTTGCAAGTTAATAGACTAAATATTGTAAGCTCTTTTCATTTTTAACTGCATAAAACATGCCTGATAAATACTTACTTAGAGCCATGAATGATAAGTGCAAGATCTTTGGTCATCTTCCCAGATTCCACAGCTCCAATACAAGCTGCCTCCAGTTTCTCAGTGAAATCCAAGAGTCCAGGATTGTCATCCAATTTTGCCCTGTAAAGAACATAATTATAATTCTTAGCCAGTAGTTACAGAAAACGTTCAAATAATTGCATTCGGTACCAACATAAAAATAAAAAATAAAAAGAAAAAGATTACCATATGCTAGTATTACCTGTGTGCAAGCCCACGAGTCCAAGCAAAGATAGATGCTATGCTGTTTGTGCTGGTTTCACCACCTTTTTGGTGAACTCTGTAATGTCGCGTAACTGTACCATGAGCAGCTTCTGCTTCTATTGTCTTCCCATCAGGGCACACCTGAATAACAAACCAATTCATTCTTGAGTAAGGTACATTTGGTGCTTAGGATGATGGACAGGATATCAGAATTATGTCATCCCATGTTTGGTATTCATCTTAAGAGGAAGATACAATGACTAATCCCATTAGTCATCCTCCTAGAATAGGATGATTGAATACCATCGAAAAAGGGAGGAATATTTTAAACCTACGGTAAAGGATGATAGACATAATAAAAAAATTGCCATATCCTACTCTTATAAATTTATTTATGCCTGCTATTAATGTTTGCACGCACCAAACATAAGATATGATGATATTATATTATCTAATCCAATCCACTTCCTTGTCCTATTACATCTTATCCTCTTCATTATTCTATGCATCAAACACCCCCGTAGTTTCTAATATATAAAGTTATTATTGCCACTGGCAGATAAGAAGATAAAAGTTAAAGAAACTGTGGATATGAGATATACCAGTACAGATGTCATCAGTCCAAGAGATCCAAACCCTACAAAAAGCAATTTAGGCTTAGTTACCAGACCAATATAGCTTCCAAGCAACAAGAACAACCCACATAAAATTCAGAGCCATTATGGCCTTAAATTTCAACAAATTATGGCCGTAAGGGGAACAATCTTTGCCTACTACTAGTTTGTAGCACAAACCTTGGGCTAAGAAATCACTCTGGACATCACCATCATAGTTCTTGCATGCCCACACATAACCTCCTTCACTCTTTAGAGCATACGCCACCATATCATCAATGAGACGATGCTCATACCTTCAATTAGATCATTTGAATCAATATTTGACATGGATATATAGAATATTAATTAATTTCATTGAAACAAAAAAGATTCACACTCACCATATCCCAGCAGCCTCATATTTTGATTTCCAGTTAGCCTCGTAAACCTCTTGAAAGATGTCCTTAAATCTTCATTAAATAAACAAACATGTTTATAGAAGTCAAAACCGAAAAAGAAAATGCACACAGTATTAAAAATACAACTCAGTAAGCAAGCTGCATATACCTTCCATCATACTTCTTAAGAATAGTATTTTTTGTACTAAGGTAAAGAGGCCACTTTTTCTGATAGGCAGTGTTCATAGAGGCCTCAGCAAAAGCACGAATGGACTTCATCCCCAAGTCAAACGAAAAGCAAAAGAAATCAGATTAAACTAGAACCAGCAAATTAGGCTTCAATAATACCGTAAAAAGATTTATAGATTCAGACCTCATCTGTGTTATACATGGCCAACGAAACTCCTCCATCACCAGTGAAGTTGAAAACTTCTAACTCTGTCTTCTCACCTTGTCCCTCTGGAACTGCAAAGAGTGGCAACCAACGAGCCAGTTAGCCATGAATCAAGTGCAGAAAATTAGCAAATGCCAATTACCATAAGAAATGGAAGCCAAGGAATCATCAAGCGATTTTACCAAAAACAAGTTTAAGTTTCCCAGCCCCTTTAATGACACTGTCAGTTGCTCGATATTGATCACCAAAGGCATGCCTTCCAATGCATATAGGCTTTGTCCAACCTGATGAGACAAGAAGTTAGTGTAGCTTCATATAAATGTAAATATATATATATATACACACAACTGCAACATCAAGAAAAACTAAAAACCTGGGACCAGTCGGGGGACATTTTTGCAAATAATTGGTTCTCTAAAGACAGTTCCTGAAGCCAAAATAGCTAATTAAGACCCATCACAAATAATAGGAGAAATATTCTAGAAAGATATGAATGCATCAATGTTAACCATTCAAGATGTTCCTAATTGTCCCATTAGGACTCTTCCACATCTGCTTCAAGTTAAACTCCTTAACACGAGCTTCATCTGGCAATCACCAACACCCAATTGTAAGAATTTGCTCAGTTTCAAGCTTTGAAGAATATCACCATTCCAGTAAGAATCCAAATTTCACTAATTCAACTAGTAAATGTAGACTTCTTTCCAGTAAGAAATTCAGCCGTAGTTCAGCCACGTATACCTGGAGTGATAGTAGCACACTTGATGGCTACATTGTACCTAAAATGAGAACCAGAAACACTAGAGATCAGCAGGAGAAGAAAACTCTGATAACAAAATGCACATACACGGACCCTATTAAGTTACTAAGTAATTTAATGGCTGATATTAGGATGTTGACCAGGAAAAGAAAAAACACAGTTATAAGAACCATATCTGAGTAAACGATACAGCCATTAGTATCAAACGCAAGAGCAGGATGCAGCTTCCTAACTGTTTTATTATTCTGTGATACTCTAATCAACCAAAAATATGGTTCATAATAGAACAGAAAAAATTGCAAACAGCAAGAATAACAATAACATACAAATTTCTATCACGGTAGATGAAGAAAATAAACAGAAAACACCATGGCCAGACCGGTATGCCAAAGCTACTAGGATGATAGGGGCAGATGGAATAATTAGGAACAAAAGCATTGTTGAGATATTTTCATTATCTAGGAATTTTAGAAAGAAAGAACTTAAACATACTTAAGAGTAGCTTCTGCACTTTCAATTGTAACTTTGTCATTGGTAGCATCACGGTATGGGAGACCAAGGTCAAAGTACTTTATGTCCAACTCTACAAAGGGAAAAATGAGCTGCAGAAAAATCAAAGGACGTTACACTCACAAGAAACCATCTTAAAATATTTTTGACAAGAATTTGAAATATGGAATCATATAAATCAATGCATCACCTTATCCTTGATTGATTTCCAAATAACTCTGGTCATTTCATCTCCTGTGCCATAGAAATGAACAAGCACAAATGATCAGGAAGAGAACAACGAGACTATCCAGATACAAAAGAATATCCTACAGTGATTATACCAACTCAACAGAACCAATACAAAGAAATTGCAAGGTTTAATGAATAACATTCTCGTAAAACCACAATTTATATCCCCTCTTCACAAAACTGAACCATTATCCCTTGCCACACACACACACACACACACATATATATATATATATATATTTATATACACATACATACATATATGAGTAGGAATCCATTCATACTAGTGCAAGTATTACCCATTTTTTTGACCCTTGGATCAAAATTAAATCCATAACACTTACACTTATTCATTTTGATCCAAGGGTCAAAACAATATGTAACACTTACATAGTGTAAGTGAATCCCTACTGTATACATATACATATATTTATTGATAGATATGTGTGTGTACTTTTCTAAAAGGTTTTGTAGCACCCAACATGCTTGATCCGATGTGAAGAAACTATTCTTTTCGATAGAGTTAACTTTTCATGATAAGCCATGCAGTGGCAGTAAGATAGCATGGGGATAGTGAGTATTAGTATCCAGATTTGCATCGACTTCTTCATCATTCTACCGTCAGTTTTTTCTTTTTCTTTTTCGAAACTAAAAGAGCAAAGAACAAAGAAGAACCCAGATCTCAGAGCAAAAGCAAATCAGATCTGAAAGAAAACGAGGATATGGGAAAAAGAAAAACCCAAAAGAAAGAATAAAAGGCGGATACCGACCGTCCATCTCAACGATGGGATTGGCGACCTTGATCTTCTCAAAACCCATTGCTTTGACCGATTTGATTTCTTCGATTCTTAGATAGGTTTAGATGAATATAATCAAAAATGGGCTGCCTATAAGTAGAAGAAGAGGATACGTATGTTGTTGACTTTTTGACCACACCAACCCCAACCTACCTTTTTTGTTTATTTTATATCGTCCGTGACCACCACCAACCATTCCTCTATTTCATTATTTTTTTTTTCTAATATCAATTATCAGCACAGCCGCATTATTACATTGGATAAAACGATTCGTATTTCATCGGTTTTAATTTGTTTTGATTTGATAAGAATTTTTTTAAAAAAAATTGTTGAATTGAAGACTAATTTTAGACTACGCCGTTTTTATCCCTCTCATAATCTGTATATATATATATATATATATATATATATATATATATATAAAATCAAAATTAAATATAAAATTAATAATTTGATGTGAAATCAGAATAGGGACAAATAAAAATACTTTCTGCTCAATCCGTTGAACTCAACGTACCCAACACCTCATAGCCAGACTGAATTAATTTAATTATTAAAGATTGTGACTTTTCAAGACAAAATTTTAGGGTTGAAGAAGAAATTTAAAGAGGCGTGACGAAAGAGGAAAGGTGAAGAAAGAGAAAATAAAAATGAAAATGATCAGGGTTACAAGAGAAAGGAAAGGAAAAAATTAATATAATATGATGATATAATAAAAATATAATATAAAAATAATATGATTTAAATTTTTAATAATAATTATATATAAATTTTATAAAATTAAATATATATATTTTATATTTTTATATTGATGTGAATTAAAATATGTAATTTTTATATAAAATATAATATGAATAAATAAAATTTAATATTTTATATAAAATAAATATAAATTATTAAATATAAAAAAATGAAAATAAAAATGAAATTTACATATGTCAGAGCATATAAATGGCTACCAAAGCTAAACAATTGGGAAAACTACAGAGTTAAGGTTCCATTTGTTTAACGAAAATTAACTTTTGAAAAACTATTTTTATATTTTTAGATATTTGTTTAGTAAAAAATTGGTTTATCAACGAAATATGACTTACTAATTAATGAAAAATAAGATTATATTTTTAGCAATTGTCTTATGAATTTGAAATAAGAAAAATATTTTTTGAAAAAAAATTGTCTTTGAGTATAATTATTTATAAATACTTTTGAAAATAATTTTACTTATAAATAATATTATATTAATAAATAATATTACATTATAATATATATTAATATATTAATATACTAATAAATAATATAAAAAGTAATAAATAGTTTTATTTTAAGTATTTTTATATTAACATAATATTTTAATATTAAATATTATTATTAAAATATAATTATTTTTTAATATTAATAATTTTAATAATAAATAATTTTTAATAATTTAATAATTATATTAATATTTTTTGAAAAAAAATAGATTTTTCATAAAATAATCAAACAATGAAAAATATTTTTCATTAACTCACCTAAACAATAAAAAATACTTTCAATCCAAAAACTATAAATATTTTTTAAAAATCATTTTCTACAAAACAATCAATTGAGTCTAAAATCAACTTGGGTCTTCTCAAATATCTGGAGCGGAACAAAATAGGGTTAGGGTTTGAGCATACAACAAAATGTGATAGACGAAAAAATACATAATTTGTAGGCCATGATATTTTAAACCCAAATCGACTCTTGGCTTCTAATGTTGGGCCTATTCAGAATCTAGGTTCCAATATGCCAACACCAACACGTTAGCTGGTCATGGTTTGGGAATGCATAACCAGCAAACAAACTCGATTTTCCTCGGAAGCTAATGTAAATAATAATACCCATTGAGTCTCTGCACCTATCCCTTTCTTATTATTCTCGCTTGTTGAACCTTTGTTTATTTTCATAAAATAATAAGATTTGACTCAAGATTGCCCAATTTTCATTACGAAATTTCTCTGAATTTGAAAGTTATCACTTAGTAAATTTTCGTACCAAAGCTTAATCCAATCCAATTAAGTCTGTAGTGTCTACCAATTTCGCCGTATCCAGTGCCAAACTTGAGGTTACCACTGGAAAGAGAAGTTCATTGATGATGGAAGAATGGAATAAAAAATTAGGTTCTAGAGGCAGAAAGGGAAGGCCATCAAAAAATTTAAGATGATAGTGGAAGAGGAGAAAGCAACATAATTAGAGTTTCTATCCGGATTAGGTTTTATACATTTTTCATGATTTACAACATTTAAAGTTACATGATACACGGTTTGCCTAAGTTAATTTGATAGTTTTATTAAGTAAGATTACAAGATAAATCTAATAATTTAAAATATGATATAATAACACAATACGAATATAATATAAAAATAAAAAAAATAATACAACTTCAATTTTAATAATAATTATATATGAATTTAACAAAACTAAAAATTTATATTTTATATTTTTGTTTTGATATAAATAATGCCTTGTAATTTTTGTATAAAATATAATATAAATATATAAATTTCAAAATCTTACACGATATGAATATATAAATCATTATATTTATTTCGAGATTTGTAAAGAATAGCAACAAATATTATAGTTTGAATTTTAAGGTTTAGGATTATAACTACAATTAAAATGTTATAGAGTTTTGTTAGACCAGCTTTGTGTATAAAATACATAAAAATCTACAGTTCTAAGTTGAATAACAATGTCAAAAGACCTTTTCCAGCACCACTGATCTTTCTGTAAAAGTTATTGAGATGTTGCTTCAAATTCCCCATCCACAAAACCAATTCCATTACCCCTGAAAATATTGAAACATTTCAATCATTCTGCTACCCCTCATAAGGTAGTTTATTATTACCTTACCTAATGCATCCACTATTCAAAAGAACAAAACCCTTACCCAGAGCAAACCTTAGATGAATATATTGTATATTTCCTATCAATTTGGTATATAGGACCGCTAATTTGAAATCTGGAAACAGAAGAAAAGTAATTGTATTTGTCAAATTGCTAAATCAAAGCCTTCCAAGTTGGACGATGTTCACTGTTCACGAATTTAAATCCTTCTCTCACCATATGCTCAGAAATGCACAAACACGCAAGGATTTACACATGGAGAAACTTCCATTAGAAGCTCTTGCCCGCTCGGCAAGATTAAGATTGATTTAAAAATTGGAAGAAATATTTACCAGGGCTAGGATTCAACTTAGGAGAAAGACCGAGCGAGGCATATTTGCCATACGTTAGCAGCCTCACCCGTTTTGAAGCCCCGAGCTTGCTAATTAAAGATCTCAGTAATTCACTGAAAAAGAAAAGACGAAAAACAACAAAAAATAAAAAAAGAAGAAGATTAGGAGCTATTGAACTCCAAATAAACAACTGAATTTATCTTACTCTGCACGCAATATTGTGAGAAAGTTAGAAGGCAGAGATTCCATAAACAAAGATATGTCCTCCATCTTTAGAGTCTTCAAATCTTGTTTCAGCTTCTTTTGCTCTTCAACCAACATTCCCTTCCCAAGGCCAGATTTACTGCCAATCAGATTACAAAAGTGGCAATTAGATTGATATCATTGTTATTAATATATCATAAAGGGTCACTAAATTGAAACTCTCAATCTCTCTTTGGTCCACTCCTCTCCGAAAACAGTAACACAAAAAAAAAAAAATGAAAAGATGCATCAACGTATCAGGCGAAATGCTTCAGGTATCAACCTACAGACACAGATGTATGATTCTAATGGTCCATGCAAATAGGAAGTGAATAGAATTAACTTGGCATGTTGAACTCTTACAAACCAGAGTCTCTCTTAAAGAAAGTCACCGATAATTGTACACAAACAAGAACTAGTGCTGATAGGAATTACTTGAGACATGTCATTAAAGCTGTACTTCATCTAACTTAGAGGGTCACTTTCAAGATTGTGCTTTCTTGCCTCAGACTAACAATTAAACCAGAAAGTGGTTCCTCATTTTCACCTTAACGAGCAGCAAATAAGTAAAAAAATAAATAAAAGTTGGGAAGAACAACATGAATCATAGCAAGAAAAATCAATGAAGATCAGAGGATGCCTTGATTTGCAGACGCAACACTTGAGTTTCAATTACAATGGTAAAGAGGTGACAAGAGGGCTAGGTAAGGCTTCGGATTAGAGAAGAGGAAAGACAGTAAAAGACTAGACATTTAAGCATGTTACTGCATTACTTTTACTGATAGTAATACACAGCTAGGAACCTGAAATATCAATCATAGTGAACAAATTATAGATTATGGGCAGGAGAAAACACAGTAAATAAGTCTTAAAAGAATTGAGTGCCATAAACCTTCTAAAGTTCTCCTTGCGCTCTTAAGTAATTCTACAAAAAACATAAAGGGACCTTTCTCTATGCATTATAACTCTAATTATTGCCAACTGCTTCAACTTTCTATAGAATAACAGGACATAAAGGTGATCTACAATTTCTTTATCCCTAAATTTAAAACTACATAACTATGAATTTCTTCAAATAATCAAGTCTTGACAAGTGGATTACATCTTAGCATGAAATTTTTTTTATGGGGGATCAAAGTAGGAGATAAAGATAGATCTTTTGGAACAGGCTAGCTTGTGGTGCGATAAACCAATAATTTTCGTTAGTAGACAGTCCTGCATAAGGGGTGGGGAATTGGAAATAATTATAAATCTCCCAATGATGTCCTATCTATTTATCTTTGAAACAAGGCCACCCTGATGAATAAATCTATGATATCCAATATCATATGAAGTATAGTAATCTTGACAGTGACATTTGCTAAGTGTTACCATAAAAGTAGAGAATTCTATCTTTAAGATTTAAGAACCTGGTGCAAAATTATAAACTTTTTCCAGTACTGATTTTACTTCAAATTCTTAATGGAACACCTTTAAAGCATTCTACTTAATGTTTCTATAATTAACAATCCCTGACAAATAGCAAGATTCAAGAACAGAAATTAGAAAAGGAACAAAAAAAAAAAGTAGATCACCTATCGATAGTTCTTCCAGAGAAAATGATGGGAAGGTATCTGGAGTACTTCCCAACACCAAACCTTTCACCTAAATGCTGTATCTTTTTTGAGTCTAAAAGAATCAAAGCCTTCCAAAGCTGACAATATTCCAGCCTGAACTCTTCATCCAATTTTTTACAGATTCCATGGTCCAGAAGAACTGCATGTTTAATCATCTCATCATAAAGGTAATTTCCACATCCATCTTTGCATGATTAGTAATGTTTATCTTAGTTCTTAGAAAATAATAGATCTTAAGTAAACAATCAGGACATACCCAAAGAAAAGCCACCCGGACCTTCGGGAGAAACCAATATGTTACCAGGGTGAGGATCTCCATGCAAGAAACCATGAATGAATATCATTTCTGCAAACACTTCCACCAACACCTTTGCAACCTTCAAAACAAACCAAATGAAGGCAACCCTGAGAAAGTGGATTTACTTCAGTGCAATAGAATGAAACATGCATGTAGCCATTAAAGATAACCCAGTTTGTACATGCTCCAACATCAACAAAAAAAATTGCTACACTGGGTTTACTCACCTACCTCATAAGACAGTATTATCCAAAATTTAACACAATATGCACCAATAATTGCAACAGCAGAAAACTCATCATCTGTCATAACAAAATTTTAGAAATATTTCTCAAAAAAAGAAAACAAACCTTCTCTGGATTTATCTTCATTCCTTTCAGAAATTCAACATCATCAACCTGAAAGATATGGAACTTCCAGTTAATGGTACATTATTTTCAAGTCAAAAGCATAATATACACATGATACAAGGGCAACATAAGCCAATGTACCATAGTTAGCTGTATGAATGAGGAAAACATGTTCAGCAATCAGCAGGCCATGCCAGAAGTAATTTCTAAAATTAGTAACCTCACATTTGAAATTTATTATCATTAAAAGGTTTACCCAATAGTTTAGAGGTTGATTTATTTGAAGCGCACACAATTTGCACCGAATGTCAACTTTTGTCAAGGATCAAAGAGTAAATTTTGTTAAATTCCCATCAAACCAGTTACAATAAACATTCCAAAATCACTATCCCCATTGATATGGCATCCACAGGTATTTAATTCAACAAATATCTTCTTTCTTCCTACCCCCACAAACAAAGTAATCAGTATAGAACTGTTTATCTTGCTTTCATTATTCAAGTAGTGATGCTATCTTGGGAAGGTCAAGAGAAAAGAATAGTAAATTTGGCTCTCTTTCAAAGAGCTACTGGCTTGAGTTCTTGATTAATGTGTTTGAAGTATGTACTACAATATTTAAAAAAATATTTACTAGTTTGTTAAAGATTTATAATAAAAAATTATGCAAAACAAAATATCATACATTTTATAGTTAAGGGATCATTTTATTTTGCCTTGGCCACAACAACATGCTGATGCCAGTCTTTCTGACAGATTTAAATGCTCTTTAGATCAGAGTAGTGACTATAACTTACAATCTCCTCAAAATAGACTTATGGCTACTGGTCAGGCTATAGCAAAGCCACAATTGATCCAACTCTTAATAAGCTTACTAGGTAGCCTGATTTGCACAAAATATCAAGCGTATCTAGGCCATGTGTATGGAGTATAGAATCGCATCTAAACTACTGTTCCATCCCCCTAACCAAAATCATATTCCAAAGTATGTGGCTCCAATGACAGGAAGTTGACAAATTGAACCCTACTAAGTAGAGATCTGGTTTGAAGATAAGGCAGAGAAAACAAGAGAGTTTATTTTCAAAAAGAAAAGTTTTAGAGTTGTTCAATGAAAAGACTTACAAGTGTTAAAGCCTACAAATTGCTTTTCGACATCACATGGGAGAATGAGATCCAACAATAAATGTTTGGTCAACTAAAAGTTTCTAATGCATTTGAAACCATTTGCTTTTACTGCTCTTCCTTTTCCAAGCAGATACTACATATATTACTACTTGCACATTTAAATGAGTGCGTGCATCAAACTAAACAAAGCAAACACTCTCCAATGTAACACAACATCCAATAACAGGTACAAGTTGATCAATTATCCACTTGTTAATTATAGATTTTTAAGGAAATTGATGTCCTATGTGATAAGGACCCATGATTAAATAGGGCGAAGGATGAGATGGACCAAGAATCTCATCTTACTTCCATATTGCAAGCTTAAGTGGTATAAAAGCTTACTTAACACCTTCAGTTGTTACTCACATAACCTTTAGGTTGAACTGCGATTCAATCACCCCATAATTCTGCATGAAAGTTAAGGAATTGCCTTGTTCCTGTGTAAATGCTGGAAACCACAATGTAAAAACTTGGCAACATCTTTGAAGTAAAGAATGATGATATCTCAGCCATCATGGTGTTTGTTACCATAATATAGTCCTTCAATATTTGATGCATGCCTCTAAGATTTCATGCTTAGTAGCTACAGGATGATGCTAGTAATTTCTATTTCATTTGATTAATCCTCCAGCTAGCAGTTCTTTCTCAAGTTGAACATAGCTTAATCTTTCCTTAGCAAACTAACCTAAGCTGCTTTTCAAAGCCAGCATCTAATTATTACTTGCTTTGTCTCATTGCCATAAAGCTACAATCTCTAGCCTGCATCATCGCCAACAGTTTTAGTGCAAGTTTGTCTTAACAGGGATATGTATAATAGTCACATAATCCAGTAAAGTAAAAGTAATAAAAAGATACATAATATAAAGGATGGTCAAAAAAAAAAGAATAGACACTTTTATTTCATGACTTTGATTGTTTTTCAGTTGACTCCAAGAAAAAAATGATGAAGTTTAGTTACACCTCAGGTTGGCTCATGGAAAGACAATCAACCCATGAGGAGGAAGCATATATTTTTGCACATGTTATAATTTAAATTTCATAAATTCAAGTATAATGTCATACTATATCAACTTAAAGAAAACAATTAATGTACAAATTTTTGCTAAAAAATTAAAACAGACTATAGAATATATAGCATCAGTTACCAGCCATCTAACTTCAAAGAGTTGGAGATATTGCAAAGGTAAGGAGTTAAACAAACCTCCTAAAGTTGACAAATCAATATGTTAAAAAATATAAAACAGATTAATCAGCTGCTTGCCCCTACCTTGTGTCCACGGCAGAACTGCATTGTGAGAATTTGCTTTGTTGTCAAACCCTGAAGAGTGGAAATAGATCTTGTATAATCCAAGCATTTTGCATGTTCCCACCAAGTTTAGAAACATGAAATACTCAATTTATTTAATAAATGGAAAACTAGAAAAATGAAGAGCAGAATAACTATGTTATACCCAAAATATAGGAGGTACTCTAACAATTTTGTTGTTTTTAAAGTTGTTGGCCATTGTCTCAGAGTTTCTTGCCTCTTGAATAAAATCTGTGGACACATAGAGGGAAAAACCAATAAATATTGCAGCCATTAAAGTAAGCAACTCAAAGGTTACTTCTACATTGCTTGAGTTTCTAAAGTTGAAACTAAAATGAAAGAAGGATATCTGCTTATATCTGGGTCTGTCATTTCCAATATAAATCTTTGAGTAAATTACACAAAAGCCCCTGAGGTTAACCATGATACAGAACCGAAACAATAGTTTGGGAAATAAAAATCACTAAAATACCCTTGCAGGTGTTATAATATTTTAATGCGAGTTAAATTGCCAAATGAAATTATAAACCAATAATGCCTTCCAAAGAAAAAAAAAATTATGAACTAACAATAACCAGAAAAGAATTTCAACAAGTCATTCTTCATTTCTGAAAGAATAACACACTCTAAGTGATCTTACTCACTGCCATCATCATTTTCACCTTATCTCTATCTCTAATCACATTATCCCATTTATTGAAAACATAAATCTTGAAAAATAAAAAGAACATATTATTCCATTTTCTATAACTTTTTGTCAAATGTCACCTTGTTTTTTGTTGAAGCACACATAATATGTCCAACCAATGCATCAAGAAGTAGCAATTCTGTTGAAGAGTTGCTTTCACAAGCTTAACAATTCAAAGTTTTTCTTCCTTGGCAATCATTTTGTAATTGGGTCTCCTTTTTTCTTTCTTTTTTTTTAATAAAAGGAAAATGCATAACCAATCGGATAGAGAAGGAAATAGACCACAACATACTGGAAATGATCATACAAGACCCCATTTTCACAAATATTCGATAAAGCCAATTGCAAATAGAAGTTTCAGGCAAAAACAGTAAATTCTGATAGAATTCTGACAGAACTAAAATGAATACCGATAAAACAAGAAAATTCTGATTACATCTTAAAGACAAAGTAAAACATGTCCTGCTTCCTAAATAAAAAGACGTTCTTACCACCATAGAAGCAAATAAACAACAGAAGTCTGATAGAATGGTTAAGTTTATATTTTACATTCAGCATTTCTACCGAACCTTAGGATTTGGCTATAAATACCTAGGTTATTTCAGTTTCTAGGAGGCTTTGATTGATGAATTATTGATATATTTGTACTTTGAATTGTTAAGATTTGAATTTTTGAGAGTTTGGAGAACTAGACTGATACTTTTAGATTATTGCTTCACATGTTACTGTTTGAGAATGCTTGTTCTAATCAGCCTGCCTAGCACTAAACCCCAGTCACATAAAAATACTATTTTGCAAGTATTATGATTTCAAAAAATGTTTTCATTTTATTAAACCTTTTGACCATATTCAAACCCTTATTAGGATAATGAAGGCATAAAACTCAAATATGAAAAGGACAAGAATATAAATATGAGAATTTTGAATTTCATCGATATGTGCATATTTAAGAAAAACACACTGAACAATACCAAACCAAGAAACATCAAGACTACGGGCGCACAATACATGCCCATCTTGATTGATGATCATAACTGGCCATTATATATAAAACCGAAGCACAAACTCACAACAGGTATAACATGACTGTCAAAGAGAGCTGTATAACTCACCAAGCTCCAGAGAAACTGCCTCAGTGAATTCTGAGACCAGCCACCGAAACCTATATTCAGGAAACAGCTGTAATGCAGAGAGAAAAGGAGAAGATTAGGCAATCTAACATGACTATAATATGTTATCAAATTTTAAAAATGAAAACATAAGGTGAAGAGGGAACAAAATAAAGACATCTAAATTAGATCAGCTTAATGTTCCAGAAACCAAATTTGGAGTAAAAAAGACAGGTATCACAACTCCTAAGTGGTACACACTGCAAGAATCATTTAAATTGGAAAGCAAAGCTATTGATAAGATTATTCAAGAATTGCTTGTCAGACCCAACCTTCTTCTTTATTCTGTCTATTGGAATATTTAGAGTATTAAGTCTGGTCAGCTCGATTAAAACCAACCACGAGTACAATATCTTCCTTACCTTTCACATGGACACAAATATCACCATCTGTCCAGACCAATTTGTTTAATTGTTTAGAACATGTCAAGCAAATACTTATCTGGTTGAAGACCAACCCTTTCCACCTCAATATTCTTCATTTGAGGAATATCAAAATGTCAGTTGTTTTTTTACTTCCCTCTCTACTTTCTCTTGCTACTCTTTCCAACCACATTAGACATTACTATTTCATTCCACACTTATCAATGGTATACACTTCATGCATGTGCCTCCATCCCACCAATGATGAACCCCTAGCAAGTAAATTATGGTATTTGTAAAAGTGGCAAGATCAACTTTGGCCTCATGCAATCTTGAGTTCGGATCATCTCGGGATTGAATCGTTTCAGGTTCAGGTTTGAGCAGTTTTCAAGTCATTTTGTGTTTCATGTAACCATTTTCACAAATTATGATCACATCAATAATTTGACTTATTATATGAGATGCTAAGTTAATATTATGAATTTAATTTAATATTTTTAATATAAATTGAACAAGAAAAAATTGAAAATTGATAAAATATTTATGCAAAAATAAAAGCTATATTCCCTATCCGGCTATCCAACCAATAAAATGGGATAAAAATTAAATTCTAAAATGGACAATAATTTTCTATTTAGCATATTTTAGTCATATTTTAGTCATATTTTAGAGTAGCATGGCAACCATTAAAAGATTGAAAAGTATAGATCTTAGCCTTCGAAAGGTTGAATATATTTTATATAACTATATTATAATGAATATTATTTTAAAAAAAAAGATTAACTTTTGATTAAAGAAGAAAAAAAGTTCTACTCTTGGTAATTTTGCATTATGTACAAAGTCATTAAATTATAGATATAGAGATTTTGGTATTGAGTTTGGGCCATTATGGGTTTAGGATGTTTCATGTTCATGTTATTTTGAGTTGGGTATTTTCAGGTTCAAGTTGTCTTAGACTTTGATTTTTTTTCCAAATCGGATGGGATTAGATCAAGTTGGAATTGAAGTTTGTAGAAATCTAATTCTCCTACATTAGTGCAGATCTGATTTTTCTACATTAGTACAGCTTGATTACCCAATTTAGTTTGGGAATATTTCTCATTTATTCTTCTGATTTAGTTAATTATTCTGATTGTCAAGTTTTTAGGGATTTGTTTCTCCTTCCTTTTATTATTTTTTATGTTTTTGTTTTATGTAAGTTGTTTCTTAATAAGGAACTTCACCATTCCTATTTATTTGATGTACTCCTTCATTCTAAAAAGAATAAGAAGAAATAAGGACAATTGTTCTTTAAGTTTTCAACATGGTATTAAAGCAAGTCGGCTTGAACCTTTAGACTATAGCCACACGAGTTTTTGTTATGGCTAGCAAGAGTAAGAACTCTTCTTCTATAGAGGTATAGCATGAGAAAAGTCACAAAGAGATGATGCTCCAACAAACCCTTCAAAACAAGTCTGCAACCTTTGGAACTAGTTTACTAGCACAAAAAGTAATTTCCTAAACGCGTTAATTGTTCAACAGGGAAATACACAATTTTGGATTATTGATTCAGGAGCGTCAGATCACATGACTGGAGATGCATCCTTATTCAACACATATAGACCTTGCTAGGATAGTTTTGCTATAAAAATTGCTTATGGCTCTCTCTCAAAGATGGCAGGAACAGGTTCTATTATACTTTCGAAAGACATAACAGTTGACTCTGTCCTCCATGTCCCTAATTTAAGCTGTAATCTACTTTCCATCAGTAAACTTATGAAGGATAGATGTTGTGTCACTAAATTTTTTTCCCAACTTATGTGAATTTCAAAAATTGGGCTCAAGGAGGATTATTGGCAGTGCTAGGATGTGTGCAGGGCTCTACCTTCTTCAAGATGATGCACTTGAGAGTCCACAAAACTCTTGTACAGCCTTAGCCTCTAGTATGAGTAAGGATGACCATATCATGTTATGGCATTATAGATTAGGACATCCAAATATTTCATACCTAAAAAGGCTATTTCCCTCATTATTCAATAACATCTTTAAAGATTTTTAGTGTGAAATTTGTCAACTCTCCAAGCACACTCAAAATACCTCTCCTAGCCTTTCCTATAAATCATCTCAACCTTGCTTAATGATTCACAGTGACATTTAGGGACCGTCAAGAGTTAACAATATCACAGGTTCTAAGTGGTTTGTTACATTCATCAATGATCATACTCGACTCCCTTGGGTATTCCTTATGAAAGAAAAATCTGAGGTTAGCCAAATCTTTCAAAACTTTAATAGCATGGTACAAATCCAATTCCAAGCCAAAATCCAAGTCTTAAAAACTGACAATGGAAGGGAATACTTCAACTCTATTCTCAGCCCTTATCTCACAAATCATGGCATTATCCATCAAAGCTCTTGCGTTGACACTCCACAGCAAAATGGGGTTGCCACATGCAAAAACAGACATTTGATAGAAGTGACTAGATCCCTCTTGTTGACTTCCAATGTGCCTAAACATTTTTGGGGAAAAGTTGTCCTCACTGCAACTTATTTGGTTAACCGAACACCTTCTCAAGTTCTTGGCTTTAAAACACCTTGTCAAACTCTCCTTGCTTCTTACCTACAAACTCGGTTGATCTCTTCCATTCCCATCAAACTTTTTGGCTGCATTGCTTTTGTTCATTTTAGCCAACAATACCGTAGCAAGCTTGATCCCAAAGCCTTAAAAAGGGCTATAGATGTTAGTCACCCATCACAAAAAAATTCTATAACTCTAAACCTTTTTTGAGAATCTTCCATGCTATAGCACAAATGATATTCAAAGGGAGAATACTACTTAGAAATATCAATTTTTAGCTGTTGACTTGCCAATTTCCCAACCAGCCCATTCAAAACCAGATTCTCAACCTACCCAACTAATCAGCCATGCAATTTTCGAAACCCAACCTGCTCAAACAACTGTTGACTCTTCAAACTCTAAGGTTATGCAAGAAAAAACAAAAGAACTAATAGTCTATTAAAGGAAGCAAAAACCGCAGGAAGAAGTGGACAAACTATACACAGCCACGCACTAAAAATCAACCTAATCCGAGTCTCTAAGAACCTGAAACTAACACAGGTAATGTCCCTATTGAATGTGAAACAGACACTTGTGAGCTAGCTGATGACCTTGACATTCCTATTGCATTAAGAAAAGGTGTGAGATCATAAACCCGCTAACCTATCTGCAAGTACATCTCATATGAAAGGTTAAATCCAAACTTTCAAGCCTTTTACTACTAACCTTGACAATGTGCAAATTCCAAAAAATATTCAGCAAGCCCTCAATGAACTAGATTGGAAGGCAGCAGTTCTTGAAGAAATCAATGCACTAGAGAAGAATGGGACATGGGAAATTTTAGATTTGCCCAAAGGGAAAAACCTGGTTGGATGTAAATGGATCTTCACAATAAAACACAATGCAAATGGAAGCATAAATAGGTTCAAAGCTAGACTTGTTACGAAAGGGTTCACTCAATCCTATGGGATAGACTATGACAAGACATTTGCTCCAGTATCCAAACTCAATTCAATCAGTGTTCTATTATCACTAGCAGCCAACTTGGATTGGCCTCTCCACCAACTTAACAACAAAAATGCATTCTTAAATGGTGACTTGGAGGAGGATGTCTAAATAAAAATTCCTCTTGGTTTCAAAAGGCAGGACAACATGGGCAAAGTGTGCAAACTCCAGAAGTCTTTGTACGGACTTAAACCGTCTCCTTAGGCTTGGTTTGTACGGTTAACCAAGGCAGCGACGAGATAAGGATTCCTTCAATGTCAATTTGATCATACTATGTTTGTTAAGTTCACTAATGAAGGAAAAAGAGTCATTCTTATTGTTTATGTGAATGATATCATAATCAATGGAGACCAAAAGAAAGGAATAGATGATTTGAATAAACTCCTTGCAAAGGAGTTTGAAATAAACGACTTGGGTTTCCTTAAATATTCCCTTGGGATAGAAGTGACTCGGTCTAAAAATGAAATATCAGTGTCTCAACGTAAAGTATGTACTTGATTTACTCAAAGAAACCGCATGATTGGATGCAAACCTGCTAATACACCCATGGACTCAACTAATAAAACTGGAAGTGAAGATGGAAGCTCTCTCACGAACAAAGGGCGACACCAAAGACTAGTTGGGAAGCTTATTTACCTATCCCACACACGACCAGATATTGGGTTTGCAGTAGGGATGGTGAGCAGACACATGAATAATCCACCCAGGGAACACCTCAAGGCTGTTCATCGCATCCTACAGTACTTAAAGAAGAGTCCCAGTGAAAGTCTATACTTTAAGAAGTCAATGGACAGGGCAATTAAGGTGTACACAGATGCTGACTAGGCTGAATCAGTAACAGATAGAAGGTCCATTACTAGATATTGCACTTATGTTTGGGGCAATTTGGTCACTTGGAGAAGTAAAAAGCAATTTGTTGTAGCTAGGAGCAGTGCTGAGGCTGAATTTTAGAGCAATGTCCCATGGTATTTGTGAAGGAATTTGGCTAATGAGGTTACTTGGAGAATTAAAAGTTAAGACTATGACATCTATGACGCTGTTTTGTGACAATAAAACTACTATAAATACTGCCAAATATCCTGTTTATCATGATAGGACCAAGCACATAGAGCTGGATCAACATTTCATAAAGAAAAAGATAGAAAATGAATCGGTCAAACTGGCCTATACCCCTACAAGTTCTCAAATTGCAGATATTCTGACTAAAACTCTTCCTAGAAGCATCTTTGACGGATTGAAATCCAAGCTGGGTGTGATTAACATTCATAACCCAGCTTGAAGGGGAGTGTAGAAATCTGATTCTCCTACATTAGTGCAGATCTGATTCTTCTACATTAGTGCAGCTTGATTTCCTAATTTATTTTGGGAATATTTCTCATTTATTCTTCTGATTTAGTTAATTATTCTGATTGTCAAGTTTTTAGGGATTTGTTTCTCCTTCCTTTTATTATTTTTTGTTTTTCTGTTTCATGTAAGTTGTTTCTTAATAAAGAACTTCACTGTTCCTATTTATTTGTTGTACTCCTTCATTCTAAAAAGTATAAGAAGAAACAAGGACAATTGTTCTTTAAGTTTTCAACAAAGTTAGTTCAAGCAGGTATTTGGCTTCAGGTTTATTTTGCCACCTCCAAGCTTGGGCACAAACTTAAAATTACATATAGTGCTTAAGTATAGGTTACATCTATGAGGATCAAGCTCAAGGGGCATTTTGTCTCTAAATCACCTCAACTACCCCAAGTGAACTCCTAGGCTTACAGCATATGCCTCCTTTTTAGGCCTCTAATGGTTCACTCATAACTTACTTCAATGAAGAATACCTTCTTGATCACAAACCAACTTTAACATGCCATTGGGAACTTCTGCAAATGCTATCATCTTCACCATGTAGAGTAAACCCTTCATGGTACTTCAAAATTCATGGACAATAATAAGCAAACCTATTGTAGCCGTGTGGCAATATAAAAAGAATCTAGTGAAAGCATGATATTATCAAGGTGCTGCAGAAAAGAGGTTAAAGTACCTAGGAGGTTCTTGTTCTGGCCTAAAAAGTGTATTTCAGTCCCTTTATTCCAATTTTGAGTAATTTAATTTTTTTGTACTTTCATACTTGTGAGTAATTAAGGACAACTGATAACACTATAAAAGAGGAATTGAGGATTTGTTATCTATGCTGATGCGATAATGACAAATCACTAATGTGTAACTTTTAGCTCACAAATTGAGGATGTGGAATGTAGAAAATTTTTTTGTTGACATGGAAAATTTCTTCTCTTTTTAGTTTTCAGTTAAAATTTCATGTCAGCAAAAGAATATTTTTATATTCCACATCCACAATTTGTCAACAAAAAGTTGCACATCATGATTAATTTACTCAAAATTAGGGCCAAGGGATTACAATACACTTTTCATCAATAATACAGTAACCTCCTAAGTATGTTAACCACAGAAAAGATCTCAGTGGCATCGATAAAGATGAAAAAGAATGTCACAACTACATTGCAAAAAATTACAAGAATTTATCCAATAGCTTAACCAAAATCCACAGAAATGACTGAACATGACAAAAACAATCTTAAATCATAGAAAAACAAAATTGATATCATTTGACAAATATTAAGAACAATTAAGAAATTAAGTGTACCCATGCAACGAATTCTGAGAGGAAATACATCATTCTCGTGTCTAACTTCATTTTCTTCTCTAATCCAGGGTATTGCACCTATTCTCCATAAAAGAACAAGCATTTTGTTGTCAAATACTTACAAACCATATGAAAAATCTTTAATGAATCAAATGGTATTCAACAAGCATCACACTAAAACTTAGAAAGAAGCAAAAACAAAGGGAATAAACAATTAAAAAAATAATAAATAATAATAAAAAAATGGTTTCTTTCCTTTAGTTTTTGATGAATGAACAAAATTAAAGTAATAAATAACATAATGATGAAAAATGAAATATATTTGTTTTACAGACTTCTATGCAAGTTTACTTTTAAGTAGGTTTTCATGAGTTCAGTGTATTGGTTCGATACCAAATATGGTAAGCAAAGAAAATAAATTCCCCATTTTCCTTTTAATCTTAGAGAGCATGGAAAATGTACTATTCAGAAAAGGATTGGAAGACTTGCTTTCCAAAAAAAATTTCCATCTGCATCTATCTTCTGTATGGTAGTACATGGTCCCTCCATACTTTCTTGGAGCTCCAACTAACTTAAGAGCTCCAACTACTAACTTAAGAGAGAACATGGTCCCTCCATACTTTCTTGGAAATCTTTTCCAATACCAAACAACAATATTTACAATTCATCTACCACAGTCCTTTTAATATAGCAAGTAATGTTTTAAAACCAAACTAACTCAAGACTTAAAAATCTTTTTTTATTCAATTAACATTATAAATACCTTTTTTACATTTAAAATAGTTCTTCTGTAGCTCTTGCAAAAATATTTAAGGGGCTGAAATTACAGAAGCACAAACAAGTATCCTCATTGGTTAAGGAATTACTCTAGCAAAAATAATTTAGGTAGCCAGTACATTTTAGGTTTCTCCATTTTTCTATGCAACCCTTTTTCTCGTATGACTTATTTTCTCTTTATGGTATGGTGTCATTGCCAACAAACTCCACCCTAACAATGCAACTGTCAATGCATCTTCTGCTCAATAAAATTTTTCTCTTTAAATCATGATGGGATACTAACATGATCCATTTGGCAAGGAAAAGTAACAATAACAACTGGTAATCTTCAAGTGTAGGCCCTCAATTAATATTGAAGGTAAGCTCTTTCTTGATTGCTAATTTGAAGAATTTCAAAGTCCAAATCATGCTTCTATTTTAAACTATTACTATGTTAATGAGCAATTGTCAAACACCTATCACTACATATTTTAGTTGGCTCCCCAAGGTAAATAAAAGGTAAAAGTACATGACCAGTCCCTCTACTTTGTCAAAACGTTCAATTTTCCTCTGCTCAAAATTTTAACATCTAATCCACCATACTTCAATTTTTCAATTAAAACAAGTAAAATTAGTAACACAGTCAATTTATCTTTATGTGCATTAACGTGTCAATGACAAAGAACCTAAGAGTTATTCTTGCTGCCAAATTGATGATTTGACATATTAATATCATTATTTTAATTTTTCTTTAAAATAACAAAATGGTAAGTTTTATTAACTTGCTAATGATTTGAAAAAAAAAAAAAAAACTGTGACACAACATATTTGCCCTTAATTTAATATCATAACTTTATTAGGTTTGTAAGTAATTTTATCAACCAAGTTGGTGTCTTGTTAACTTGTTACACGAACTCAGTCACTCATTATATAATAGTATAGATCATATCTTACAATGATATGACATAACATCTTATTTTATTAAATTAATGGCAAGAACAAGCACGCATATGGTCTTTTCTGCCACAAGTGAACATGTAAGCAACAATGAATTCATATTCTTTTATAAGTAACAGGTTAATGTTATGAATGGCCCATGAATTATAGCGGAATATTTAATGTGGTATCTAAACTTTAAAAACGTCTAATGTGATAACTAAACTATGAATTTGATAATTGATGTGGTATTCACCCCTAACATGACTAACTCCACATGATGACAAATGGCGCACAAATAACCCTCCAAGTACCACATTAATTAACAAATTCATAGTTTAGGTATCACATTAAAAATTTCACTATAGTTTAGGGGCCATTTGTAACATTAACCTTAATTTTACTTAAATGTATTCCCCACATTTTTTCTAATTTCATTGTCCTATTTTCCTTTTTTTTTTCTAGTTTCAGCCTTGATTTTTTCTCTGTTTTTTTATCAGATCCCTAACCACCATTGCTTCCCCTACCAAGAAATGCCAAAACACCTGCATTGGAGACAAGGGCACCACCACCACAAATCAAGAATCTGGAAAACCAAAACCAAGACCAAGAGTGCAAGAATCCAGCAGCACCAGAACTACTATTGAAACCCTCCACATTTTCCCTTGCCTATCCTTCAAGATCACTGGTTATTGGCACCATGGGTTCTGCATCCAACACGAGCACATCTCCAAAAAATACCCTTTGTCCTATACCCTTTTTTTCTAGACCTACTCCAAACCATTTCCATTTTTTTCTTAGCATAGATCTACTAGTATTGCAATCCCAGCATAAGGTGTGGCAAAGGTTTTCTTCCTACTATAATATACCATTACAATATAGACACATGTTGGCTCAAGATGCAAAGGACAACTCTTTTAATCATTTACTTGTTTATATATAAAAAGGTTTTGGGCTAAGTCATCGTAAAAATATTTGGAGCCATTGCTTTTTGCATAAATTTAACATGATTTCGAGATATGCAGAAGAATGAACTTCAAGGTTTTGGGCTGGGCTCCAAATGATGACATGTGGCGGCCAAACAGCCATCTAAGTACCATATTAGTTAACATATTCATAGTTCAGATAGCACATTAGAGATTTTCAAAATTCAAGTACCACATTAAACATCTCACTACAGTTTAGTGGCCATTCGTAATATTAACTCAATAAAATATAAATGCAATGAAACTATGTATACAACAACAATAAAAATACTCAAAATATGGCCTCAATAAATACAATGGAAGTTGAAGCTTTATTGAAGCAAAAAAACAATGCTTAAGATTTCCTATGGCCAAAAAACAAGGATATTTGAGATTTTTTATTTGTTCTCCACTTGCCTATGAAGGGGCATCCAGTCCAACCCCATAAACAAATAGATATACTAGCCTAGCTAAACTCAAAAAGAGAAGATACATGGGATATAGATGGAACAGACAAATTTAACAGCAAAGCATTTACTATTCCCAACACAATGCCAACGGGTATCGGTTAATAGTGTTCTTATATTGCACAGATTTAGTAATGCTTTACAAATTTTGGAATTTTGATTTAGGAAAAAACAAGTTTATCATTTGGTAATTTCTTGGTCAGATTATTTAGGGTCATGAGTTCAAGTTATTACAAATTTTGGATGGGATCAATGTTAGGTTCAAAGTCTCTTTGGGTTCGGTTTATTTCAAGTCTGAGTCATTTGGTGTTCAAGTGTTTCTGGTTCAAGTATCTTCGTGTCTTAGGTCATTGACCTTTTCAATCAACCTAGGTCGGATACCACGTTGGTTTAGGCAGGTTTTCTAGAGTGGTTCGATTTTTCCACCACTCAGGGAATGGTTCCATGAATACATCTATGAATCACTTTAAAAATCTCTCTATTTACTCCACCTATCTAGATATAAGTCAAAGGCATCAATCACAACTAAACAATATGGTACAAAGAGAAAACAACAAAAGAGTTAGCAATGCCAACCAACCTTAACTGCTACTTCTTGATGGTCTTTCAACATTGCATGATGCACTTGAGCAATGGATGCAGCAGCTATTGGTTGCTCATTAAACCAAATGAATCTAAAATTTACACAAATCTTCTAGTCAATAGAAAATTCAGGTATTTCATACGCAAGATTTTACCAAGGAACATAACCAATGAAGAGAATTTTGCATTCCTTTTTTCTTTTCATTCTATAGGTTCTAACAATGAGATGTTAGGGTCCATAGTCAACTTTTTAAACTATTTCTATCAAAAATACCTATGAAAAGTAAAGAGCTACATAGTTATAATATCTTAAGAGCTTGCCTTGTCATACCTTAAAAGACAAAATGCATAAATATTTCAACTTGAAACCAATTGACAACAAGTGGAGAGGCCCAACCTCAATATAAGATTATAACAAGCGCCAAACTCAAATAATGTAGAAAAACACCACTTAAAGCTTCCTCTCACGTGTTGTGTAAGCTAGATACTAAAAACTGAACAAACAGACCCTAACAAGTGAGCAGCAAACAACTTGGGCTCTGATGCCAATTTAAGCATCCAATATATGACCAACTACTAATAGGTGGAGAGGTTGAACCTAAATATAAGGTCACAACAAATATATTATTAAGAAAATTATAATAGTAGATATCATTCATTTAAATAATTTGAGAAAATTAAAACAATTGACTGTAGAAAATCAAGATACACATATATTTAAAACAATTGATTCAATGAACTCTAAGTGTTAACATTTAGATACAGTTGTACACATTGTAATGAACAGAACATGGGCAAATTACTAAATTTAAATTTAATACTTAAAGTGTTAATTATTTAATTTGAAAAAAAGAATATTCGACTGGAATATTGAAAAAGATATAAGACTAAGAGTAACACAATGTCAAAAGGAGTAATATGAGTCAAATTGGTCTAACAGCCTAATCTTAATGCTTAAAGTTTATAACATATCATGATTTAAAATTACTAGATATTTTACTAATCTAATTGTAGTATTTGACCATTTGAATAGAAAATAGTAATGAAGAATGAAAATGCTATATTACCTATTGGCATGGCATGGATTGGTTAGCTTCATTTTAAGAACTTGAGTTTGAGTATTAATTCTATGTTCAAAAATATTTTTTTTAAATTTCATTATTTGAAAATAACTTAACAAGTATTTTTTATTAAAATAAATAACTTAATATTTATATATTCAATTATAAATTTTTAAATTTCATTATTTGAAAATAACTTAACAAGTCTATTTGATTAAAATAAATAACTTAATATTTATAAATTATAAGATTTAAAATAAAAACCTTCCTCTAAATTATACTTTGTTTAAAACTAATAGTTACTATAATATTTTATATTTATTGATAAATAATAATAAATTATCAAATTCAAATATAAAGTTAAATTAATTAATTGACATTTTATCTTTTTTCTTCTCTCAAAAGAAAAAAAGAAAATGCAGAAATTTAACAAAATAAGCTATGTAGCAAGCTAAATGGCTTATGACAGAGCCAAAATGAAAAAAGTCCAAAAAGTTCAAAGGTAAAAAACCCAACCAAAAGCATCTTTCCAACGATGCCATTTGGAAAGAACAACAAATAGGAAAAAAAAATTCCTTCTCTCCTAAATTAGCTTTGCCATCCAATTCAAATATTGATAAGTATATATCTCAACCATTAAAAGTAAAAGGCTGAAACACATTTATGTAAGTGTTATGAATGGAATTTTTATTTTAATTTTAACTTTTGATTAAAGAAGAAAAAAAACAAGATTACAATAAATTGGGTAATTAAATTTTGCATTTTGTACAAAATCATTTAATTACAAATTCTATCATTTTAGTATTAAGTTTGAGTTTGGTATAAATATTCAAATCGCTTTGAATTTGGGTTATTCCATGTTAAGGTCATTACAGATGTGGGGTTCTTCAAGTCCGGATCTTTAACTTTTTGGTCAACTCGACTTTGATGGGGTTTTGGCTTCAAGCTTTTTCGGACATAATTTTAGGTTCAAGTTTCATTTGCCACTTCTAATCTTAGTCATTAGTCCAAGAAATAAGAGTGAAGAGGTGAGAGAGAGTATGGAGAGATAAGTGAGTTATACGCTTTTAACTTGTGGACAAAATGATTGGATTGGAGACTAAAAACAAACCTATATGAAAAGCAAGACAAAATTAAACTGTCGTGAACTCTATTGGATTGTAAGAACTATGTACTAATTGTTTAAACTAGAAAATCCTTCGAACTATGTTTGGGATGCAATTATTTTTTATTTTTGAAAATATAAATTGAATAGAGAAATTTCTATACTTTAAAATATTTTTCTTTTCTTAATTCTTTTAATTATTTGAAATCATTATCTTTTAAAGTAAATAACTAAGTGCAATAGAAAAATTATAAAGGAAAGAAACAGAAAGTAAGAAAATATCAAATATATAATACTCATCAATTTTTTTCCATCACATCATCATCAACAATTGTCATTTAATTTGTTCATATATTATCAAACAATTAAGACTCCATGGATAGAAGTTTTTACTTTTTTAATTTTTTCTTTTTCTATAAAATATGAATTGAAAGGAAAAAGGTAAAATGTAAAAATTAATAGAAAACTAAATATGATATTAAAAAGAAAAAAACAAAAGCATCTATCAAAAAAAACCCTAAGTTTTTTTTTTTTTTTCACGTGGTATTGGGTTCAAAAATAGAAGGTACTACTATTCTATCTCATAAATCCTGCCCTTCTTGCCCTAAGACTCATATGCCAAGACTGCCAGAGTTGGAGTCTCAAGTTTCAACTGCTAAGGTGTCCCCTTGAAGTCAAAAAGATAATTAGTGTCAATTAGAGGGAAAAAGTTTCAAATAAAAAATAATTAAAATTTCAAATACCAATATCTTTGACTCTTTTGATTTTTTTTCTTCTTTTTTTCCTTTTTCCCTAATCCTTTGCATTTTTTTTATCCTTTTCCATTTCCATTTGTTTTAAGTTATTGCAACTAGAAAGAAAGAACCATGAACTAGAAATTATCCCATGCCAACAATGAAAAAAGAACAAGACAAAATAAGCAAAAATAACAAAAGATATTAAAAATTAAGCTGGGAAGTTGCCAAATGCCAACCCTATGAAGCTTCACAATTCAACATTTACATATTGTTTTAATTATTCAAAACCATTTATCTTTTTCTAAAAAAAAAAATAAACGAACAAAAAGTAAGGATGATTTGAATTGTTAAATATTTCCTTTAATTATTTTTGAAAACTACATCATCAACAATTTTTATTTAAATTGTTAATATAATACAAAATAGTTAAGGTTAATTAAAGAGAAAAGTTCTAAATAAAAATATATAGTAATTTCAAACATTAATATCTCAAATTCTTTCCAATTTTTTCTTTCTTCCTTTTTTCATTTTCCTTTCCTTCCTTTCCCTTCCAACTAAAAAATTATTTTAAATAAAAGGCATGAGACCTAAGGTGCCTTGCCCAATTAGGCATTTGCACTATGCTCATGGTGCCTAGGCATACACCTTGACAACACTGGAAGGTAGTATACCATCTGGACTACATGCCAGCACCTAGAAGGCTAGTACAGATATATTAATTTTCAGGACAAAACCATACAAAGGGAATATGGGAAAATCTGAGGAAAGATATAAAAAGTTATACAAATCCAAAGTATGATTAAAGAAAAGCAACTTACAGCTCTGACAGATCCTGACCAAGATTGCTGATTATTGCTTCTTTTATGACCTTAAAATCACAAGGAACTGCCTACAGTATCATAGAAACATAAATTAGAATGAGAACCTATAAAATGTGTCTCTTTCTGGATAACATTATATGCAGAGAAGAGAATGAAATCAACCATACCTGATCCTGCAATGAGGAAAGGGTCAACGAATAATCTTTTGGGACCTGACGCAGGGAAGAAACAAACTGGCCAGCTTTCACATAAAAACCTTTATTTGTTTCACATAATTTCAGTATTCTCTTAGCTGAGCGCAAATGAACCTAATTTGCACCACAAAACCATATATTTAGTATCATGTGCATAGTAAGATCAAATATTCGCCAAAGCTGAAGCTTATTTATACAACCTTTGGAGTATACTCAAATTTCATACAAAGAAATTTATTTTGCTTCTTTGACAATATTTGAGAATAATAATTTATATTTTCTTGTTTTCCTAATTTATTGTAGTTTTTTATACTAAAAAAGCTCTTTAAATATAATGCATTTATCAAAGCAGTCATGTGGGAAGAAATGCATTTTAACAGATTCTTCCAAGATGAGGTAACTCGATTGAAAATGATGGCATCGATTAAAGGAACTAAATTTCCTAAATTGCCTTGGGTTTAAAGCAACTCAAAGCCTAACAGTAATAGAGAAAAAAAACCAAGGAGACATTGTTCCAAATCTAAAACTCCGTATATATGCTTTCCTTTATTCACTTCTCAAAAGTAGGAATGATATTGGTTCAGATTGAATCCAATTTGGTTCAGTTTTTTCAGATATTATATAATATTATAAATATTTAAAATTTGATCCAAATCCAATCTAAACCTTTATACAATCCGATTCAAACCAAATTTTACTGATTCAGTTCGATTTAATTTATCAGTTTTTTAAATTTAATTTTTGTTTTTTATATATTATTTTAATATAAAATTTTAATATATTTAAAAAAATTTTGATAAAAGATTAATTTTTTTATTTTATAAAAATTTAAAATAATATAAAAATTAATAAAAATATATAATTTGATTGGATTCAGTTTTTTATTTTTTTAGTTTTACACTTCTAAATCCAAAATCTTTGGAACTTAATATACACATTTAATATCCAAACTTAATTTAAACCGAATAAACAAAAACAAAAATCGATCGGAACATTACAATTTCAAATTGGTTTTCTATTTTCTCTCGGGTTTTTCCTCACCCCTACTCAGAAGTTGCTAAAAAGTAAAAACCAAAATCATATTCGATTAGTAATGAGCAAATGATTTTAGTGCAATTCCTCTTCCATGAATATTTGTTAATTTTCAAATGGTTTGAGGATAAATTATGGTGGAGTTTCAAGTCTTTTAAAGACAATAACAATAATAATTTCATACAAGACGAGAAGATGGAACAAAATGGAACCTCAGATAATAGACGACGATATTCATCGCAGTCCTTTGGCAGCCCATATAAAGAATACTTATAGTCAGCAACGGTGACTGCAATCTGCACCAAAAACAAATCAATATCACAAAGCTTCAAAAAGACAAAAAAAAAAAATGAAATGGGCATGAGATTAAGAGGGAAGAGAGAGAAATCGGACAGTGAAGATTGCACGAGAAGAGCGAAGGACGCCTTGGAAAACGGAAGAGTCGGAGGAGGAGAGACAATTGGCTTGATATGAGATGCCGCTGACTGTGATTAGGCAAAATGCGGCCTTGGCTTGCGCCGGAAACTTTGATACTATTTGTTTTATCATTTGATACTATTTGTTTAGAATATATTTTGAAAAAAAAAATGTCATTATAAATGAACATTTTATCATTTAAAAAATTTTCAAACGATTATTTTTTATGTTTATTTTTATTTTATTTACTTAATAATCAACCAATATTATTTATTTTAATTAAAAATAGATGTAATAAAAATTAAAAAGAACTTGAATATTATATTTCATAAATTAAAAAAATGTCTTTTAAAAATTTTTTTAGCGACGTGAATTTTGTATAGATTGTAAATACTTGATAAAATTTAAATAAAAATGAATTGGGAGTGAAAAATAACGATAGAGAAAATAAAAACACAAGAGACACGTAATTTCTGTCATTATGATATTGAAAAAAACACAATAAAAAAGATTTTTCGATAAAACAGAGAAGAACACAAATTATCATATTTTTTTTATAAATATCTTATGAGATATCATATGAAAAGTCAGTACTTTTCAATATTTCTTGTGAGTTGGGGTATAAAAAATTAATTTAAAGTATTTAATTTGAAAAAGCTGAGATGGAATATTAGATCTTTACGATAATAATATTTGAAAACAATTTGTTAAAGATAAGCTCCACCTGCATCTTAATTTGATTTGAGGGCAGATGTGCTAAATTTTTTTAGAATTAATTTTTTAAAATAAATATATAAGTTATCCTGAATTAAATAGTTGAAAAGTAAAATAAAAGTTGAAAAAATTATCGTATGAAAATTTTAAAATTACTAATAAATAATTGTTCAATTAATTAAAATTTATTTTTTTTCATAAAAAATTTTTAAATTTAAATATTGTAAATAGTAATTTATTAACGCTAGAATATATTTATAATTACTTATTTTAAATTATTAAATATGATATATTTAGTCTTAAACTAAAAAATTAAATAATTATCTATTCTAAAATTTTTTAAAAAAAAATTAAAAATCCATTGCGAAAAGTAAACATGAATGCCAACAAAGAAAGCTCATCGAAAATTTTGAAATATAAAAATATTAATACAAAAGTTGGGAAAAATAAAAAAAAAATTGAAGAAAGATTTTAAAACGTACAATAGTACCAATTTTTTAAAAATTTTATTTGTTTGATTAACTAATTGATATGCACAAAAGAGTATTAACATACAAATTTTGAAAATACAATAAAATTTAATGATTGATTATATTTTATTTTGATAAAATTAATTCATTGAATATTCATGAGCATAAAAAATTAATAATTTGATTTGATTATTAAAAACCTTGTGGGGCCTTTTGGCTTTTGCTCTATATATAAACTTTATATAAATTGTTTTTTCTATATCTTTCAAAAAGCAAATAAATTATATCTATAAAAATGTCTATTTGTATATGCATCATTTTTTGTAAGATATAATTTTTAATAAATAAAAAATATAATTATTCACCATCATAGTTAATTCATATTATTTATTATTTTAAAATATTTCAAAAAGCAAAAGACAACAAAAATAAAAAACAAACCTGCTTTTGTTACTATATTAAATTTTAAATAAGAAAGATTTACGGTGAAAAACAGCAATATATAAGGCAAGAACATGTATCCTAGATAAGGCAATCTAGTCTGATTCCTCTTAGATCTATATCCTAATCTTCAAATCAAGCCTTTTTTTTTCTTTAAAAGAGACTTGAGATATTGAAATTGATTATGTGTCAACTGCATAATGGAACATTCACAAGAGTATTAAGGTGATGCTCATGCCGGTTACAGTATTGTATTTAAATTTAAATGTAAAATAATTATAATATATGTTTATTTTTATTTTTTGATAAACTATATTTTTATTCATACAAAGTCAGCAAAAATCTGCTACAATATAAATATTTTACAACTTAACAAATAAAGGAAAAAATAATTCGTTAATAGTTTATTTTAAAAATTTTACATTCAGATTCTAATATTCACTAAATTTTTTATTTACCATATCTCCTGTAATATGTTTCAATTCATGCAGCCTGTATCATATAATTTCCTTGATTTTGTCCATCATTTGTGCAATTGTTACTCCCTTTGCTTGAATATCCTCTGATTCATTTCCTCCTATATAAAATATATACATGTGTTCCAAGTAATTCTCAATAGAATTCATATCAAAGCTTTCCCTTTTAATTTATTTTTTGTTCAGCTCAGTTCTTAGTTAATATTTTGAAATGTGATACTTGAATCATATTAGTTTCTTTCATCCCATTTTTCGTTGTTGTGGTTTGATCTTTTCTCATATCATGGTAATGTCATAACGTCCTTTTGAAAATGATCATACCTCCACTCCGTTTTCGTTTTTGATGAAATTTTGCACAATCTACATTATTTAAAGCAATTTCCTCCGATTCCAACTGTTAGTTTGCTTGGCAGCTATTTGCCATATGATCTTCCCCTTCGATTTATAAGCTTCAATCCAAGTGATCCATAAAGAACCAGCTTTTGCAATTATCGACCAGATGTTATGCAAAACGCAAGCTAAATTTCAGGTCGAGATATCTTTAACTCCAAACCCTCCTTCAGACTTAGGATAGCATATTGCCTACCAACTTACTCTAGCTCTTTTTGCTTATCCTTCTTTTCCTTTCCAAAAGTAAATTATTATTTTTATAAGTAATGAAATGTCAAATTAATAATATCATCATTCTTTATTTCCTATTATTAATTGTTTTAAATATAATCTAAGTAACATTAAAAATCATTTGATAATTGATTTAAAATAATATTTTAAGTTAGTTTTATTCAAAGATTTAAAATTGATTAATTTTGTTGATAATAAATTATTAATATAATTACATAATAATTATAAATAATAACCAAAACTTCAATGTAAAGAAATGCGCTTAGTTAGGTTAATTTTCCTATCATCATCACCTAACTAAGTGTTTGACACTCCTCTTAACTTGCTTTTATGTCTTGGTTAGATATCGGCTTTAACAAGAAATAACGCTTCAAACTAGGTGGTTAACCAACCTTTTGGTCGCCTTTCAGCTTTTTAATAATAATTTCAATACTCATTTGAAGTGTGAAGGTGACTCATAGTTGACACAGTAGCACTATAGTTTTAAGACACTTGCTCACTGAGTTTCCGCTACTTTCATACTCTGCATCATTCACATGATACAGAGTCGTTTAAATTCTTCATTAAATGATATATCTAGGTTTCTATTAATTAATATTAACGGACTCTGACACAATTTTTTTACGCTTTTTTTTAAAAAGGTTCACATATATAGTTAAGCAATTAATTAAATCTTAATTATCATATGTAATTTACCAACACCTATAACTCAAGTGATAACCTGATAGGGCGAGGCGAATTTTGGATAAAATTCTTAATTTGTGGATTAATCCCTTAAATTAAGATCAAATAGTGATGGAAAGTTAGAGATTTTATTAGTTAATTGGAGGATTAATAGGAAAAGACATGCAAAGGGAGTTAGTAGGGAATGGCAATCAAATAAGTGTGGATGAGAGGGAGATTTAATCAGAAAGTTTGGTGCCAGAGAGCAATGCTAATCCCTTAGCATGCTGCTGATGTTGCAACGGACAGCACTAAAGATGGTTACAAATCTCCAAACTCTGATTTTCGTCCCACCATTTAAATCCTCAGTTGTGGTTCAAGGAATCAACAGCCATCGATCCAACATGGAGAAAACACACACCAAATCTCCATTAAAGGTCATTCCTTCCTCATCCTCTTAATTGATTTCTGTTTTATTTAATAAATGCTTTTTGTTTTTTGGCAGACGCTCAAAGACAAATATTCCAAGCTTCCAGCCAAGGAAAATACCAAGCCACTAGAAATCAAACTTCACACTGAACAAAGAGCGGTCAAGCGTGCCATGTTCAATTACTCGGTACGTAATTCACTTCCTTCGATCAAATACTATCAGTTTCATTACATTTTTTAAGGTTGCCAATTCAATCTTCTTCAGTTTCAAAGTTTTTTTATATATATGCTTAGGTGGCGACCAAGCTATATCTCATGGAGTTACAGAGAAAACAAGTGGAGAAAGTGCAAAAGGTAATGATCAGCATATATATGTAGAAAATTCAATTATGGTAATTAACTAAGCGTAAGCCAACGTGCATTGAGCGAAGCAGATGATAGACGACGAAGAGATTCGTTTGCTAAGAAAGGAGATGGTTCCGAAAGCCCAACTCATGCCTTACTTCGACAAGCCATTTTTCCCACAAAGGTATACGTCCCTCAGTTACATAACATAGTTATGAATTATCTAATTCGATCTCTTGGTTCTGAAACCTGAACTGGTGTTGAACTGCAGATCCAATCGGCCATTAACGATCCCGAAAGAACCCAGTTTTCGCACTGTAAACAGCAAATGTTGGAGTTGCATCTCGGAGAGTGAGCTCTATTATTTTCTGCATGCTCACGCTTGGAGCCCCATCAAATGAACCTAATTGATAGCAAACTGCAATATGATTGATGGCAAACAATTTCCCCTCATGGGAAACAAGATCACTCTTGCATTCTAACCAGCGAATGAGTTAAGCTCCAACAAGCTACATTAATAAATATGAAAAAAAAAAAAAAAAAAAGATTATAGAGGCGAAGCAACTTATATATCAGTAACTGTAACTGATAGCATAATAGCAGGAATGTCAAATCTGTGTATGATGTTCTCTTTGATGAAGTGGACGATATCGGATTGTTTTACTTTTCTCATTGGTTTGGCCTTTACACACATTGTCAAGTTGTTAGTGACTGCAGCTAGAAAATGTTGTCCTCTTATGGTTGTTCGATAGATATTTTCAATTAAACTGACGTGGCAAACAATTCCTACGTGTTCAAATTGAGTTATTTCATAATTGAACTATATTTTCAAATTATTTCGATTTTGGGTCCTTAGAATTTAAATCATTTTATATTCATATATTTTTATGTTTAATTCAAATTTAGATACGAGCAAAGTTGATTATTTTTTAAATTTTTATGAAGCATGTAATCAATTTAATATGGTTTTTGAGTTTAAATTTTCTTTGAATTTGGGTAAATTTAAATTAGAAATTTTTGCATTCAAGTTATTTTAAGTTTAAAATTTTTCAAATTTAAATCTTTTGATTTTTTGGATTAAATCAATTCGAACAATTTTTTAAATTCAAGCTCATTTTTCCACGAGGGATTACGATTTCACAGGTGGGCATAATTACAATCCAAGCACCTTTTGCACAATTTTATAGCACGCAAAAGACAAAATAAAAAAATTTATATTTGTTAAGATGAAAATATTTTTTATTTAAATTTATCAACTCAATTAAATAAATTTAGTATTATTTTTTTTCCAATTTAATTAAAATAATAATTTCATTTTGATTTATATTTTTAATTCAAAATTATGAGTATTTTGATTATTAATAAAACAATCTTAAATAATTAATTTCTTTCTTCATATTTAAAAATTTTTTCATAAGTATAGATCTCTTTTTTATTTACTTATGAATTAATAAATTTGATTAAAAATATTTTTAATCGTTATTGAATTATAAAAATATTTTCATTATTATATAATTATATATTTTTTGTTTTCTTAATTTTAATTATTTAAAGATAATTATGTCTTTTTATATTTATTGACTAATGATTGACTAATAACATGAATGATCAAAGGGTTAAAAGCTTCATTTTGAAACAAAAAGAGCCTGAAGTATCTTTTACTGGTATATTGGGATTTTTTAAGATTTTTCCTTGATAAAAATCAAACCAAAAAACATTTTTTACTTGAAAATTAAAAATATAAAAGGTATTTTTTTTAAATAAAAAGCAAGCCTACATTTTTTAAAAAATAAATTAAAAAAAACTTCAAATGCTTTTGGTTTAAATCTATGTTTTGTTTGTGAAATTTTAAAAACTCCAAATACATAAAAAGAAAGCAAACAATAATATATTTATATATTTCTATAAAAAAGTAAAATTTTCTAATTTTGTTCGTTAGCGACGAATGACGATCGTTAACAACAAAGAATGACTTCGGCATGTCGGTGACAGAATCTAGTCAAAAAGGAAGGAATGTAAAGAGAGAAGATTTAATAAATTTGTCGCCGGGGTTTAGTCTAACGGTTAAAAGTATTTGACAGCACGTCAAAATTTTGATTTTGAATTAATTTTTTTTATTTGTATTAAAATTTATCTTTTTAATTTAAAAAAATTAATAAATTTAGATGAAACAATAATATATTCATATATTTGCCAGAATTTTTATTTTGTACATGAATTAAAATTATAAAATTATTTTAATAGGATAACAATAAAAAATATTTTGAAAATAAAATACAATACATTTTTTAATAATTAAAAAAAAGTTTTACTAAATAAAATTTGATTTTAAATAATTTTAAAAAATCAACCAAAATTTATATGTTATTAATTATTATATTTTTATTCCAAAGAATCAAATCTAAATTATCAAATGAATTGGATATATATATATATATATTAAAATAATTAATATTTTTTTCTGGTAATTTTGATCATAGCGGGGCCATTGCCAAACAAATACTGGTTGTGATGTCATTATCCTTTGGTTAGAGATGGTGTGGGTTGCTTCTCACTCTTTAGGACTAGTCTTTTAGTAGTAGCAATAAATAAATGCTAGCTGCTTTTCTTCCTTAGACTTAGCTCTTTACTCTGACTTTGGTGAGGGAATGGAGAGAATAAGGGCGTGTTTGGTTGCCGTGGCCGTTTTGAGCCTTTGCGGCTTAGCCCATGTGAGATCCAGTGCTTCTGATCATCGTTACAAAGCTGGAGATGAAGTTCCTCTCTATGCTAATAAAGTGGGTCCCTTCCACAATCCAAGGTTTGATTTTCCTTCATTTTTCCTTTTCGATCTCAACTTGAAACTTTAAAATTTTGATTTTTTATTTTCATTTAATTTTTTTGTTTGATTTTCTTTAATCAACAGTGAGACATACCGTTACTTCGATTTTCCATTCTGTTCCTCAGGTTAGTTAGTGTCAATTTCGGCATATTTAATCTTCATAAATAAATAAATAAATAAAGAGATTGAGTGTGTTGTGCAGCGCCCGTGAAGGAGAAGAAGGAAGCTTTGGGTGAAGTGTTGAATGGCGATCGGCTAGTGAGTGCCCCATACAAACTTGACTTTTTGGCTGAGAAAGAGGCCGAAACTGCTTGCAAAAGGGAGCTCACCAAGGAAGAGGTTGCCAAGTTCAGAACCGCAGTCTCAAAGGACTATTACTTCCAAATGTATTACGATGATGACCTTCCCATTTGGGGCTTCTTAGGGAAAGTTGATAAGGAAGGCAAAGCCGATCCAAGCGAGTACAAATATTATCTCTTTAAGCATCTCATATTCGAGATCCTTCACAATAAGGATCGTGTCATTGAGATCACTGTTCAATCTGACCCCAATGCACTTGTGGACATCACGGAAGATGAACCAGTCAATGTGGATTTCATGTACACTGTTAAATGGAAGGAAACGGACACTCCGTTTGAGAAGCGGATGGACAAGTACTCGCAATCGTCTTCATTGCCACACCACTTGGAAATCCACTGGTTTTCGATCATCAACTCGTGTGTTACCGTTCTGTTATTGACTGGATTCCTCGCCACCATTCTTATGCGAGTCCTGAAGAATGATTTCGTTAAGTAAGAGTCATTTTCCTCTGTTTTTGATGCATGAAAATCTACATTTAATTCAAATTACATGGTTTTAATTTTCAATTCCTTTATTTCTTCTTTAATGATAATAGGTATGCACATGACGAGGAATCGGCAGATGACCAGGAGGAGACGGGGTGGAAGTACATTCACGGTGACGTGTTTAGGTACCCAAAGCACAAGTCTTTGTTTGCAGCGGCTCTTGGTTCTGGCACCCAGCTATTTACTCTGTGAGTATCATTTAACATAGTCGTAGTTATTCTCCAAACAAAAGAAAGAGAAATGTGAGAGATAAATTTGGCCTTCCATTAGAAGTTACTTTTGGCTTTTTGTTTCTGAGCAATCTGGTGACTGTCTATTTATTTGCATTCTTTGCCAGTACAATTTTCATTTTTGTCCTTGCTCTAGTTGGGGTCTTTTATCCATATAATCGAGGAGCTTTGTTCACTGCTCTGGTTGTCATTTATGCCCTTACCTCTGGAATTGCTGGCTACACTGCAGCCTCTTTCTATTATCAGCTAGAAGGAACAAATTGGGTATGTAATGCTGGTCTCTCCCCATTTCCTGTCTATAAAAGAGATGAGATATTACATTTTGAGGAATCCTTTTCTAGTTTATAAATCATCATACTATTAACTAAACATAAATTGGCTCTGCTGGTCAGACCAAATAAATTTTTTATGCTCTAAGTGTGTGTGTGTGTGTGTTATTTTTTACTATTCAGATATAGACAAGCCATGAGGGAGAAGCAGATAAGAATGAGGGGGAAAACATAAGAAATAGGGGAGAAAACCAAAAAGAATCAATAAAGGGTGAAAATCTCACATATTCATGGTCCAAAACCTAATTGGAATCTAAATGATGTAGATATTTATAAGCTAACTAAGCCCTCAAAATACCAAGTATAACCCTAAAACGCAAATACTTGGGAATAAGCAAAAACAATTAATAAAGAATAGCCTAAATTACCTAAATCTACATAATATGTCATTTAACTCATAAAATATATTGCTTTTGGTCCAAATTGAATGTTCATCTTACTATTTTAGGATGTTTTAAAATAATTTCCACTTTCTCAAAGTGGAAAAAACATTTTCAATCTTGCCCTTCATTGAAATACTAACTTTAGGTGGGGCGTCTCTGGCTTTTCTTAGTTTTAAGGGCTGTATTTGTGAAGTAGAGAATGAAATGCCTCATTCCTAAAACTTTTGGGCTGTTTGGAAAGTGGACATTCAATTTGGAACGAAAGGAGTAACAAAATTACAACCTAATCCCACTGTCTCAAACCTTATGTTCACATTTCCCTTTTGGCTTGTCTCAAAATAAGGTCCACTTTCCCAAATTGAAAAGCATTTTTCAATGTTGTCATTCATGGAAATACTTACTTTAGGTGGGCTCCTCTTATGACTTGAAGGTTGAAAGTTCTAAAGTTAGGCTTTACAACGGCACACTCCTTTTCCCCTAGGACGTCATTAAATGGTTTTAAAATTGTTGCTTTAGCAACAATAACTTTGATCTACCAATTAAGGTATGAGTTTTTATCGGATCCTTCTTCGTAAGCACATTGGAGAAATGTGTTTGAGAAGTTGTCATGATAAGGTATCTAAGGATGCATTAACTTATCCCAATTTATTATTTAATTTCCTGTATTCATTCTTTGATTCCATCAACCAAATTGTAATCTCCAATTTCAAGTATTTTCTTGAGGCATATGCTCTATAAAATCATGGTATTAATAAAGGTGTCAAGGAAGAAGGTTCTCACAACCATATCTATCCTTGAAAGATATCTCAAAATCTCAAATATTCATCATCCAAAACCTAAAATAGCATAGATATATTTAAGCTAAACCCCTCAAAACACTGATTGATTATAGCCCTAAAACTAAATGTGGTAAAAATAAACTTGAACGTGAAAACTCACTCAAAAAATCTCGA